CCCGCCGTGACTGATGGACCCCGGCCACCGCTTTCCGCACGAACGCTCTCGGGGTTTCATGTCCGCGCCTATCGGGAGTTGTCCAAAGTCCTGGGTCCTGGTTCTCTAAACTACACACGCTGCTGATGCTACACTCCAGACGCCGCGTCCCTCTCTCCCCGCCGTGCCAGCAGCGCCCGCACGGCGCTAACCCAGCGTATCTCCTCCTCCTCGCTCGGTGCACTCAGCACCAGCGCACGCTTCGTAGTGACAACTTTGAATACGTGCGCGCCCCCACCCCCCTCCAGACCCTCCCCTCCACCCTCGTATTCGTATTCGAACGCGTCCAGAACCTGCGACAGTGCGATCTGCCTGTGCGGTTTGCTCTCCTGCGGGATCGGGTTAGATAGATGGTCCTACAGCCGATGCAGCGTGATTCTGGAACGCAGAACATGACAAGTATAGAAACAGAGTTGTCAACACTCGGAAAGGGCCCGCGAGAATTCGCCGGCGCTTGATAGATGCAGATGAGGCGAATACCTCCCCGAGTAGCATTGACTCTGCTCCTTCCTCGTCGCGAACAGACGCATCCGAAGCCATGATGAAAGGGAGAAGAATATACACTCACCATGTGGCTCGCGCTGTACATGAGCTTCTCGCCATTGAGCACGAAATATCGTTTGCGCCAGATCTTGCGCTTCTGCCCGCACTTCATCAAATATCCCGACACCAACGTTCGCGCAGGGTCGGCTAGTCCAGCTGCCGCGCCAGGCGACGCTCCCGCCCCAGTCCCTGCGGCGAACGCGCGCCGTGTTCGCGGACTCGCATCCTCGCTCTCGCTGCTCGTCAATCCGTGCATCCCCTGTCCGCCACTTGCACGTCGTGGCGTGATGGGGATAGGGATAGGCACGCTCGCCCGTTCTGGGCTTGACGTAGGTGCCAAACTGAGCAACTCCTCCCTCGCCTGCTTTATCGCCGCACACCACTCTGTTGCCTCGTTCGCCGTCGCAGCCTTGAGGTAGTATGTTCTCGTCGCCGTGACCAGCCCAAATGTGTGCGTATGCCGACGCAGCGAGACGGGGGTGCAGGAATGTACGTCTGCGAGATCGAGCAGGCGATGAAGCTCGTACTCCGCACTCGATGCATAGTAGGCGATGTGTGCGCTCCTGAGCACGAACCACCGACGACGCCAAGCCTTTGGTCGCCGCTCGCCCTTCTTCCATAGATATCCTGATCGCAAGTCCTTCTCGTTCTCAGCCGCGCCCGTTCCTGAAAGCCCGCGTGTACCCGCCCGCCACTCGCTTCCTTGTTCATGCTCATCGCCTTCTTCCTCCTCCGGCGCCAAGCCCTCTCCGTCCTCGTCCTCATCGTCCAATGCCTCCTCGTCATCCGTCAACGGTGGTCCCTTCGCCAACCGCCTCCTCTCCGCAATTGCACCAAGCGCAGGCGCACCAGGCGAGCGCGAAAGAGAAGACGGTATCTCTCCAGTATCTGATTCATACAGATGCGCATCAGAGTCGCGGTCGTCGAAGAGTGCGCCTGATGGTGCGGGCGAGATCTGTGCGTAAGGGATGTCAGATACATGAATTCGGATTAGAGCAATGTGGCGTAAGGAGATGTGGTAAAGGTTCAATACGTACCTTTGGTCGCACTACAGAATGTATAGACAGTTTCCTCGTCACCTCCTGCGGCGTAGGTGGCGCCGCCGGTGCGCTATCCAGTCCCGTCGCCATAACGCGTGTTCAATCCAAGATACAGTACAGATTCCAATTGTGATTGAGTTCCTTCAGCCCCAAGAAGACTTCTTTCCTAATTGTTGTTGTGTCGGTCGCAGTCTGAGCCTATTCAAGTGTACGCGTCGCAGATCTTTCGTTGAGCTGTCAAGTAGAGGGCAGATCAGGGTAGAGTCAAAGAAGACGATCAGACGGGGCGCTGTCAAGCTCGGAGTCGGTGGGCGTGGCGGGGTCGCACGATGCACGTGACGCATAACCACAACCGCTGCTGTTGATCGTGACGAGCTCAACCCGATCGACGACGTTGCTTGCGCCCTGGGCACGATCGGTGCGAAGCTCAATGGCGTATGCCGGTTCTCAGAACCGCAAAAGGAGCGTGCGCCGATGCGCTGCAGTTTCGCATGCACCTCGAGGCCCATGTCAATGCAAAAACGGCCGTTTCGTTCACACTGGTACAACTACACCAGCCTCTCATCTGGACGTCTTCGAGATCCGCACTCATCGCCGAGAAAGCCCACTCCAGCTCGACAGAACACAGAACATCAGATCCATCTTATCGCTACACAAGAAACCTGCTGCGTGCGCAGGAAAATGAAAGGTAAACATGGATAGGTACGGCACCGCGGGTACCTCTTAGCGCGCGCGCCAACGCGCCGCTCCCCGCCCCGATTTCAACTCCGACAGCCGTTCCGCAGTCGCCCGCCGACATCCTCTTTAGGCAGTGCGGGGCCCGAGGACGCGCATCCCATCGTCCGGGGTCCTTCCGCGCTCGACCACACTTTAAGCGCCCCCTGTGACAGAGCGCTCGATGGTGACCACACTCAACTCATCCTCGGATGATGATTCATGGTGGTGCTTTTCGGCGCTCGTCGGCAAAGTGGCGGTAGCGCGCGCTTGCTAAGGACGTAGGGGGTGTTGGGTCTCTTGATAATACGGGCGTGGGCGCGGCTCTGGCGCTTATACGCGGAAGTGCGGGGAAAGAGCCTGTGTTGGGTTATGTGGCCGGGCGCCTAAGCTGACGATGCCTGTGACACTGTGGGCGACCCGCTAGTGAACAGTACTGCGGGCTGCGGTTCTTTCGAGCGAGATAGCCAATGTCATAGAGTAAGTATCCGCGTTGCTCGTCGCGCATCCCTGGATGCTCGCCAACTCCACCGGCGACCAACCGGTGTCTATGACTACACACGATGTGGTCGCGTCTCAGGCGCGGGCGTCCCTTGCACGCATGCCCACTTCGTGTTGTCGACATCGCGTTCTCCGCCTCGAAGTCACGTATGCATTGTACGCAGTTCCAGGCCGATGCGGCCCTATCCTGCCGGTCATACGGCAAAGCATTGAATGCATACCCAGGCAGTATCCTGCCGCCCGCGCGCGTTCCGGATGAGAGGTGGGCGCTCCGAGGGGGAACGAACTTCTTCGCGACGGCGCTCCGATACCTTCCAGCTTGGATTGGAGTGTGTGACGGTTCTTGTGGCGGCAGGGCCGATTTGACGGGAAAATCGGGAATCAGGATACGATTGCGGCTTCAGAAGCTTGAGAGACATGAAATCGAAGGACGACTCGAGCCTCTGCCGGGGCCTGGAAGATGTTGACGATACGCTATGGGGCGCGAGAAGCACACCTGAAGCACTTTTGATAGCGGTCCACGGCTGCAACGCGGCGCACCGAGCTCGGCAGCGTGACCCTATACCTTGCAGCATACTCAAAGTCCGGTCCAATGCACAGTCAGCTGCAGCGTCGACGGGACCCGGTCGAGTACAAGGCCGCCGACGAGCTTAGCACCAAGCCCGTCTCTCGAAACAGCAGTCGCAGATTCGCAGTTGGAAGTCAGATGTCCGTGTATTTCCTCCATTCTAGATTCCCGCACAGACAGCGCGATCGGGCTTTTGCCTGCTTGCCGAACGTCAGCTGGCAGTCAACGCTGGACTACAACGCTACCCCAGTTAGCCCTCCTGACATGCATACTCGTAATGCTTTTCTTGAACAGGAACAAGCAGCACGCCCGGCGTCTCCGCGCTCGCCGGCGTCAGACGTGCCCAGGCTCGAAGATCGTGCCGATTCATGGCAGAGTGACAGGCGCGGGGCTTTGGAAGAAGCGAGGAATGTATGCGCATGAAGGCGTGCTTGTAGGTCCACGCGAATATAGAGTAATAGGACACGCCGCACCCGCTCGTCCGCTCAACATTCGCATAGCGTATCGAGCCACACTGTCAGCTCGCCATACAATAGCTCTCGCATCCCTGCAATACAGCTGGAGGGAAGGGCGGTACCGGGACCAGAAGGTGGACAAGCTTGAGGCAACCTTCGCTGCAAACCCCATATGGGCGATTCAGCTCAGAATTAGACCGCCGCATTGACAGAGGTGCACACACGAGGATAACAGCTCATGACGATGAGACTGTGGGTCCAGGAAAGTCTACAGTCCCTTCGTGATGCAGAGATGCGTTGTCGCTGTTTGCGTTCTCGGCGGGGCGCCCGGTGACGACGACGACGTACAGTGCAACAAAGATCGTCTTGATGAGAAACCTCGGAGTCGGAGTCGGCGGAGGGTTCGTACGCGGTCAACTTCTTCCGCTCGCCCATCTCTGTATTCAGCACCTTCACACATACACCGAGGGAGCCATGCCGCGACTTGTGCGGTCAGCTTTGCCGTACAGATTCGTGAGCTCTCGGCCTGCGAAGGATCCCTGAAACCAAGAGACCCACTCGAGATCCTGCACAAGCTTGAGCATTAGCTGCGCGCGAGGTGATAGAGCTCAGTCGACCATGCATGGGGTTGGGGACAGATTGAACTCTGGAATTTCGGATGATGATGATGAGCTGTGGGACGCGGTTTGAGCAGATAGGGGCATTACGCCCCGGCGCTTCTGGAGGAACGAGATTGAACTTCTGCGTCCGAACCTCCAGCGGTGCACGTTCACTTCAATAAATGCGCGTTTGTACGCTTCTAGCCAGGCTACATCACGCCAGCTCATGCGGGCTTGGGCTCACCGGAATGAGCACGGCGGCCCCGTGGATGATAATGTCTCCATTTAACCCCCCGAGCGAGACCGAGGATGGCTTAGTCGTAGCTGGAGTGTCTGAAGACGGCGACGTGCGGCAACCTGCCCGTCTTCTCGAGCCCCTGGGGGATGCGAGTGTATTGTATCTTCGTAGCTGCGGAACAGCCTAGCATGACCTTACTCGCGATGCGATCCCTGCGCCCACAGCCTCGATGCAGCGGCGCAGACACACATGCGGGCGTGACGGGCCCGGGATGGCCGTGACGATGGACAACATGTATGGCAGGCCCAAGAGAAGGGAGAAGGCTCCCCGAATCCAGCTTGAACAACTCTATGCGGTTTCGTCTCGGAAGCCTGGCGGAACTCTGCCAACGCGGACCTGTGCATCTCCCGCCCCATCCTGCCTACAAACCCTCCCGCCTTTTCACGACACCTTCCCGCTTTCTCGCTCGCGACGGTACACGCTCCGGAGTGGCCTTGCGCGGGAGGATTGCAGAGAGACGCCCGTGCGGCCTAGGCGACGAGGAGACCTCGTGCCTGCGCGTGCCCACGGGGCTTATCGAGATGAGCGGCAAGCGCGGAAGATAGAGCCCGCGAGATGCGCCGGATTGGGAAGGACGTGGGGAATCAGGGGCACGGCGGGCGCTAATGACGGTGTTGTATGATGCACGGGTACGCGTGCGACCAACACGAAGTCGAAGACGGGGAAGGACTTCGGGAGTGCATGGAAGGGCGAAGCTGAGGGCGACGGAGCGGAGGCTAGACGCGCTGGTTATGGGCGGCTGTCTTCTGCTCGGCACGGATGCGAGACTCGGAGAGTCAGGCTGCGCGTGCGGGCGAGAGGTAAAGCGTGCTCGTCGTGCCAAGTCAAAGGGAGCGAGACAAAGGTATCCAGTCATCCTGAACGAGTTCGCCGTCGTTCGAGGCACATCATCAGCTGCATGTGCTCGCTCATCGCAGTTGTGCGGTGTGCCCGGGCCGTATGTGGAGACAGGACGAGAATGTTCATATTCAGGACGAAGTAATCTGCTTTGGAAGAATCAAGGTGTGCACCACAAGAAAAGAACAAGGTCCGTTCAGCTGCGGTATGTTCGCCGTTCAAGGTTCTGTTTCGACGTCTGCTACTGCACGTAGCTGGACAACGAACAACGCCAGTTTGACGTTGTCGCTGTTCGCGGGGCAGAAGTACCGTCGGGGGACTCGGAACGAGCATGTCACCGCGTATCCGTACAATAGAGTCGACGGGCGTAGGAACCGTATTGCCGAACGTAAAAACGGGAGATGAATGGGATGGCTCGCACAGTCATAGTGTCTTCTGACGTGGAGGTATTTCGCGACTTCACTCACGTCGACTGCGCAAAGATACTTTGCCTCTGGACAGCGATGCGTCCAGGCGGACGTTTGGTGCAAAGCGTCTTGGGCTTGGCTGAAGCGCGGGCAATTCGAACCATGGCGCACGTGAAATTGCCTAATTGGGGCAGATAACGATCATCGCGTCGTCATCGTCATCCCCAGAGTCGGAGTCTCCGCTTCGAACTACACGCATCGTCAAGCGACTTGCATCTCTACCACCATCATCATGTCTCAAGGAAAGTTTGACAAGGCCGTTAGCATCGTCCAGAGCCTCCCTAAGGACGGCCCGATCAAGCCATCGCAAGATGATCAGCTCTACGTACGTCGTACGGTTCATCTCAGCCGGATATGGCGGTAACTGACGACGATCTTCGTAGTTCTACGCCCGTTACAAGCAGGGTATGTCCATACGTAGCATATGCGCGGCTAGATCCTGACGATGAATCGTCGTCAGCGACGATTGGTGATGTCAACACCGCTCGCCCAGGCATGCTCGACTTCGTTGGCAAGGCCAAATGGTGCGTCTTGCTCGCCGCGGGGCTGTTATCTTCAGCTGACCATCCTATCAAGGGATGCGTGGAAGAAGCTCGAGGGGACCTCGAAGGAGACGGCCCAGGAGGAGTACGTGAAGAAGCTCATCGAAGTACGTCGCCTCTGCCACTAGTGGCTGTTTTTCTCGTCTAACAACATCATAGGTGCTCGAGGCTGCTGGAAACGAGGAGTCGAAGAAGTACATCGCCGAGATCGAGGCTGCATGAGCGGAGTCGCCGAAGGGCCTACGAATGCCTTTGAAATCGATACCTGTACTTGTATTACCCCAACGCGATCTTTCGTACGTTCTGCATACTGCCTGGATTGCCGCAGATATGCCTTTCATTCAGTAACGCACGCCTCGTCTCGAGACCAGTCAAGGTGGAAAGAGTCTCAATGACAGCGAGAGTCGACGCAGACGGTGCCATCATTCTCTATAGCTCGCTCAGACTGCGCTCTCAGATGGTGTCTTGTTCATGTTGGACGTATCGCGCAGACCATCTAGGCCTACACACAGAGATATGTGTCGGGCGCCTCTCTCGGCATCGACGATCGGATGAATGGCGCTATGTCCGGAAGAAGCATCATGGCGCTTGTTTGGGCGATCTGCGGGGTAGTAGTATATGAAGACGCCCATATACGACTTCTTGCGCTCTGGCGCTTTGCCTGGCGGTCCATGTAGGTGCACAAAGTCTTCGGCAGCGAGAGGGCGAGAATGCGACAGAGAGACATGGATGCCGCAGCTGCAGTTGTACCAACCGGCCCGGGGGACCTCGTTGTCCCATACATTCGCTATATGTACGCGTCACAGCGACCCTTTTCGTGCGGCCTCGCTGACTGGTGGTCCTGGTCTTGTGCATCCGTTTTCCGTCCAGTCTTCCGAGAAGACAAATCGAGTGCGAATCAAGCACCGTTTACGTCTGAACAGTTGCTCTCCCATGTGCCTGTGCTCGCTACCTATTGCGATCCCGTACCAATCGTGGATCTACTGCCGTCTGCTGATACCTTGTACAGCTCTTGATACCACTTCGAGCCCTATGCCCTTGAGCACGTTCAAGGGCGACGTAGAGGGCCCTTCCATTCCACCCTACAGGCCTTCATCTCGTACCCGGCCGAACAGTTCAACACCCGCTATCGACAAAGCTATCCGTACTGTATGTGAACACTCGCAAATCTGGACCCACTCCTCGAGGACCCACATCAGCGTAGCGCCCGCCACAGTGATGCACGATAGGTGGCCTCCCCGGGCGCTTCCCACCGCCCGCTTCCCGGGTGCGGGGCCTGCGAGCGGTTACGGGGTCTGCTGCGCGCCTCCGTCATAATTGACCGCTCTGGATGGCCCAAAGCTCTGCGCCTTCCTTTTCTCGACGCGTCTGCCACGCCTGGGACACGACGCGCCGCGCTCGGTTGCGCCGCTCGCCGCATTTCAAAGTCACTTCCACCATACTCCGTCGGGCCCAATGTACCACCCGACGGGCGCTTCAGTCTTCTGGACAATCTTTGACTGTGCGGGCCAAGGTCAGGCGGGCTGGGGTCTTGCGGTCTTAGCACGACGGCGAGCTCAAGTCTTCTCGTAGCGTGATCATGAGCTGGAGTCTTCCGGCTGGGCACTTCTTTGCGACTGCGAACAGCACAAGAGTTTCTTACGACTAATACCGTAGAAGTGGAGCCGGGACGGTTGCTGTGAACCCGCAAAGCGAGTGTTATGCGGTCGCTCTGGTTATAGAGTCGGCCTTGTGTACGTCCGTGAGTGTGGGCTCATTTGGGAACATCCCGAATGGGGACTCGGCGCGGGCGGCTTGCCGCGCTCACTCAGCTAAGTGGTAAGTAGCACAGAGGGCCATCTCGGAGTTGTGGCCGGCTCCTGCAGTATTGTGCCATGGTATCACCTTCTTCCACACTGGGTCATCGTTGCTCATGTGTTCAACAAGATCGTGGCCTGTCTGCTCAGCTGTTCAGCGTACTGAATTACCGTATGCATCTAGAATGGCATGAGGCGTACAGGGCCCGCGCGGTCTCCTCGAGCCGCATTGGTCGCCGTTCTGTATAAGCATAGGTGGCATTTCAGGGATGACCCTGCGCCAAGGGTGAGGACAGGGTCTAGGACGTGCGTGCAATTCATACAAGACTTGCTAGAAGGCTTCGATGAGCAGCACGTTGTCCTTGGAAGACACGGATGTAGGACTCGGCCACAGCACGAGACTGGTATCGTGTCTGGACTATCTTTGAAAGATCTTACAGCTGCGGCCGGTCGCGCACGGAGTAGTGCCGCTCCACTGAATCGAGTTGCCTGAATAATACCTTCGTGGGGCTCTGGTCATGCATGCCTTTTGTTCCTACCTCGCTGATGAGCGTGTGCCGAACCCGAACATGCCAGAGGAACCCACCTAGTAGTACAGCCTATCACGCCACCACTTCAGCTTCTCCCGCGACTTGGAGTTGCGATCTCGGCGGAAGGCACTCTCGGAGAGCTACAGGCCGTTTCATACCGCCGCCTTCGAACCTCACCCCACTACAGCTCGAGCATCCGTCAAGAAGCGTGTCCATGACCTTGTATTCAGATTGTACACGTAGAGGCGAGAAGCCGGACGTCACAGGTAATCAGAGATCGGATTACTGCGGGAATACTCTCATGGCACGACCTGAGGGCGATCGTAGTCATTGGACGACGAGGACTGTCAGGCAGAAGCAGAGAAGCACGCACGAGAAGCACATACGTGCATCTTGCTATTCCGTCCTACATGAATTGTCAGTCACGCTCTCGGGGTTGCGCGTGGTCGAATACACCTTACACCATTGCTGACGAGTCGAACGATGCCCTTAGTCACTTCAGCGATCGCCGCTGTGGCCGATTACTGTTCTCAGTCTGTTCTCCTCAGCTGGCATTGTGCGGTCAAGAAGTCGTAGAAGCGGTCGGGCGCCCAAATCTCCGCCGCATACAGTCCAGAAGCGGACAAGACACATGTTGACTTCGTCCTTGTGCCAGATGAATGAACAAGTGAACAGCGGAAGCGCCGAACGTCGGCAGGCGTGTTTGTGGCTCTTAAGCATGCAAACCGGTCTGATGGCCGACATAGACGCTGAGAAACTCGTTGTGATCGACATTGGTGAGCAAGTGGAGTTGGAGAAGGTGAACGAGGACCGAGGCGAAAGCACAGGGAAAGACAATGCACTCCTCTCAAGTTCATCTCGGCGTCAGGAAGCATCCGAAGGTAGAGTATGTGATAGACGCCCATTTCATTCAATGGACGGGCCTTGCTTGCATACAACAGGCGCCCGAGCACTCTCCTGGCTTCGAGGGGTAACAATGGGCGGAGCGAGTAAGACAGGGCTCGAGCAAAAGCGACGACCCCCACGTGATTGATGTGACCGTCACGCGCTTAACGCGGGCGGGCAGTATTTTGGAGTATTCTCCCTCGTTCCGCCCCTCCCTAGCCCAGAATCTCTCTCATACATACGCGTAGAAAATGCGCGGAGGATGACGGTTTCAGATTTTCTAAATTCGAACTCGTCATCTAGTTACTCGGGCATCTGTTCAGCGGCCCATCGGCGTTTATCCGCACGACGCGACCACAGCGTGCCTCAGCGCGGCGACACGGAGTCCGTTCACATTTGTCTCCCCCATTTTCCTGCACTGACCAGGTCTTACTTGCCAGGTTCGAGCGCCAAACATTGCGCTTCATGTTCGCGTATCGCTTTGGTCTCAATGGAAGCCAGTCGGCGTTGACGGCGAAGAAATACCGGGGCCTACGATAAGCTAACTTACGCGGGGAGTTGAAGGCAGCAAATCGCGCTTAATTTCAGACTTTCGGGTATGACGTAACTGTAGTACAGAGCTATTGTGCTGAGACTCATTGACATGGTATACAATGTGGTGCCCATGAGATCTAACCACCAACGAGTGTCGCCGCGCTGAGGCACGCTGTGGTCGCGTCGTGCGGATAAACGCCGATGGGCCGCTGAACAGATGCCCGAGTAACTAGATGACGAGTTCGAATTTAGAAAATCTGAAACCGTCATCCTCCGCGCATTTTCTACGCGTATGTATGAGAGAGATTCTGGGCTAGGGAGGGGCGGAACGAGGGAGAATACTCCAAAATACTGCCCGCCCGCGTTAAGCGCGTGACGGTCACATCAATCACGTGGGGGTCGTCGCTTTTGCTCCAGCCCTGTCTTACTTTCATACGAGTGCTGCGGTGCCAACTTTTCGGGAGCGAATATCTGAAAGGCTTGCGGAGAAGTGCGAAGCCAAAACGCGGCGGAGGTATAACCTCGCCGTGTTTCTGCTCTGGAAACGAGGAAGACATACTATGTGATCCTCGGATGAGCCGACATAGGCACAACCACTCAGGGAAGTGCCATTGAACCTGCCCGTGTAAGTGCAAGTTGATTCGCCAATAAGCATTCTTGGGCGTATACGAGCATCCGGCGGTAGATCCGGTCTCCGATGCCTTGAGCCTGAGCCAATGGTCGCAGTGTTCAGCGAGCATTGGGGGGCGCGTTCGGCGACATCCAAGAGATACCCAGGACAGGACAACCCACCGGATAACCTGACCTCTTTGTCGCGCACATCTCGGGCTGACATGCCCGCTCAACTTCATTTGCGTCCAAGTTGGTGGATCGCGCTTGCCTCACGGCTGCATGACTTGCCTGGTGGGGATGGTTGTTGAGGATTCGCAGTTTCAGTGTCATAGAAGATATACTTACTCACTGATACAGTACGGCCCATTTCGACGCTAAGCGTCGGTTCAGTCAGACCGGTTAGGATGCGCAGCGTCAGATGTACCCTATCAACTCCTGTGTGAGTGGGGGCATCGGTGATAGAGACGATTGGTCGTGCGTACCTTACAGTACAAAAACTGCTGACTTGATCAACTCTCAGTGGCTGACATTGCCCGGTAGCCTCGATAAGAGGTATAGAGTGCTATTCAGGAAAGACATACCATAAGTGACCAAGTACACGGACTTCGAGATCCGTTGATATAGATGCATACAGTTGTTGACCCACTTCCTATTGGAGCACGCACGGCGGGATGAGAGATATGGTGGAAGGATAGCCGTACAACGATGCATCTCGGTCTTTTACCCGGCGTACATGTCAGAGGCCTGACAGTAGCTCATTGGCGTCTTCCCGACATGCAATCTCACCATAGGCGCACTGTGGCCATTGCTGAGCGAGTGTATCTCACACTCTCAAGGGCATCCGGGTCTGAACCGTTTAGCAGTAGTCGACGCGCGTTGTAATCTTCAACTTGCACTCCAATTGAGTAGGTATAGGCGGGCATGAGATGTACATCATATACGAGTAGAGCCACACCCGTACACGACGTTATATCAGGCCACAGTCCAGCTTGTGCACAATGCGGTACGCGAGACGTTATACGCGATGTAGATTCGACTTGATGGGTAGCGACACTGAACTGCCTTGTCAAGGATAGAGTAACAAGCAGAATGGAGCAAGGAAAGATGGTCAATATTTGGATCGTCAATTTTCCCCGTGTGGCTCCAGCGCGCGATATCGACGACGTCAGCGCGCCCACAGCGATCAGAGGTGCCTCGTGCCCGAATGTTTATCTGAACGCTTGTGCTTAACGGTCCCTTGTCATAGACAAGGGCTAGGACTCAGACGACGATGGCCAGCAAAGAAGATGATGGAGGGAGGAAGCAACTTGGCAGGAAAGGCAGGGGTCTGGACCGGCGGGAGCGCGTGGTTCGGCCAGGGACGGCTCAGCACAGGGAGCGCCAACGCTTCCTCCACAGTTCCACTCGCTCCTGCTCCTTCGCCCACGGCCTCTCTTGACTTCATTATTTACGATCCTCACGACAACAAACTCTGAATCACACCACGACCTCGACCGCTGCATGCTACACTAGTCTACCTTCTCTTCCTTCGCTCACTTTGAACGCACGCAGCGCAGGTGCGTCAGTTGTGGTGCTATCGCGACGCGAATTCCTGCTGAAATATATTGCAGTATGCGACGGTCGCTCGCGCTTGCCACATTCTTGTATATCCCCACCTCGACATATGCCTATACAGCTGTACCAAGGTGTGTACTCTGTATTTCCCGGCCTCCCTCTTCGTGGCTATCTGGGATTCGCGAGTTGTATCTTAGCGCCCGAACCACATACGCATAGGGCATACCGGCGGTAACTTGAAGGGCGAAGCACGGTGCTGTCAAGTCGCGATGCATGTCTGCAGATCAGTGCCTACGACGCCGAGGTCCCCTCGGGTAGACGGGTAGACGGCACTCATACCCCACCGGAGAGTGCTCCGGAATGTCATACTGGTTGTGCAAGCCGTATCTCACATCCGGTATCGCATCGCCTTGCGCTCGTCCATCTAGACCTTCTCTGCTGCTATCCTCAGTTGCGCCCATGTCCCTGTGACAGAGCTGCGCACCGACTTCCTCGTCGCGATTCCGTGTCTTCTATGCCTCGTGTGGCTCAAGCTGTCAATCAATGTACTCACGCTTCACCTCAGATGGGCGCAAGCCGCCGCTGTATCATCAAACTCGCTTTACATCTACGGAGGCCATACGGATCAGTACAACAGCTTCACGTACGATAACGCGCCGTGGAATAACGACCTCCTATACCTCAACTTGGGAACATCCTGGGATCCAAATTCACCACCGTGGGCTGTCATAGGCGGTTCGAATAACGCCACATCACCCGCATACGGACCTGGACTCGCGTGGAGTACTCTCTCGACGTTTGCGGATAGCCAATTCCTCCTATTCGGCGGTCAGGCGGGTCCGCTTTCGGACATTGTCTTACAAGACAACAACGACTCTGCCGTGTTGATCAACGTCTGGAATCGCTACAAGCCGAGCCTCACCAATGAGTCAAGTTCATGGGCTGGCGAACCCCAACGCCGTATGCGCCATTCTACCGCAACAGTTGGCGGGAAGGTGTACATTGTTGGTGGAGAACGCGCCGATGGCTCCACGAACGGCTTCAGCGATCACTACGTCTTCGATCCCACAGGGCCCTCCTTCACTCTCCTCCCTACCGACGGCGCCCCTCCAGATATCTACGGGCACGCTACGCTCTTACTTCCGGATGGCCGCATCATCGTACTGGGTGGTTGGCACCAAAGTCAAGGGTCGTTCGTCTCGTTCAGCCAAGTCTCGCTGTTTGACCCTTCCAATAACTCATGGACGATGGCCAACGTCGACTCGAGCAACCTCCCTGACGGTCGTCTCGGCTTCTGCGCTGCTGCATTGCCCGACGGTCGTATCATCATCCATGGTGGAGGCAATTCTGGCTCTGGCTTCGGCGATACCTTCTCGGATGGTTGGATACTCGACACTACGCAGTCTCCCATGAAGTGGGAGGCCGTCCAGCCACTCTCCGCACTCGGTGCTCGTAGAGATCACTTTTGCGTGACCATCGGCTCGGACGTGCTCATTGGCTACGGTATGTACGCTGGGCTTGCATATCGCAACTTAAGGCTGACGATAACTCGATAGGCTACAGCAGCAATGGTCCCGCAGATGCCAACATGCATATCTACGACCCCAACGGAAGCTCCTTTGTCTCGACATACGTACCTCAAACCACTGCAGCATCGTCCACGCAAATCACCGTTCCGCCGACAGTTCCAACAAGCGGGTCGGGCAGTGGTGGTGGTGGTAGTGGCACCGGGAACACGTCCGGTGCTGCTGGGGCTACTGGTAGCGGAGGTACGGCGAGCAGAACGTCAGGAGGTGCCTCGCCATCGAGCACGAGCGGGAGTGGTGGAGGAAACGGCGGCGGGAACGGTGGTGGGAACGGCGGCGGAAATGGGAATGGAGGTGGAGGGAATGGCAACGGCGGAGGTGGAAATGGCGGCGATGGAGGTGGCGGTGATGGCGTCGCAGGAGATGCTGCCCGAAAGAGAACGACGGCCATCGTCATCGGCGTCGTACTCGGTATACTTGCGCTCGTCGCCGGCGCCGGCGCCGCTTACTGGTACCACCGTCGTCGCCGTCTGGCGTCAGAGACCGCTTTCACACCTCTGGGCGGCGAAGACGATGACAACGCGGCGCATGCCATTCCCGTTGTCGGTGCGAACGAGTACTCGGAGAAGGGTCCTCGTCTTCTCAACGCTGTACCTCTCTTTGGCTTCGCCGACCGCAATCGTCAGCAACGTGTGAACCGCGGACCCAGGAGAGACATGCTTGCCGATGAGGATCGCTCGTTTAACTCAGGAAGTGGTGGCTGGAGCTTCACAGGATGGGGACGTGGCGGATCTGGCTCTGCGCGTAGCAGCAGATTGTCGCGCGATGGCAGCGATGGCAGTTCCTGGAGCTGGTCGAATACGGCCACAAGTCGCACTTCGAGTGTTCGTTCGGCGCTCGCTGCGCTCGGTCTCGGCGCCGTCGCCGCCCGTGGTGGTAGCAGCCGCAGATCGCAACGGATGCCCAGTGAGAAGGGCCCCCGCGATCCTTACAGCGATGAGGCGGCTCTTATGGCAGAGGATCTCGCAGAGGAGGATATCCAGCGACCACGAGGAGGTGCTCCAGGACCGTCAGGATATATGTATAGCGACCCATTCGCCGACTCGAGCGCCGCAGAGCGAGGAGAGATCGACGTACTACATGATGCCGGGCTCGACTCTGATGCCGAGGACCTCCACGACGTGCATGTCGTTCGCAACGCTCCCCATCCCGCTCTACGAACCGCGTTACCTCCGACTGCCGACTTCGTACCTATGAGCCCACTTGTCGAGCAGGCATCGCGCCATTCGTTCTCCAGTTCTTCGCAGGCACATTCGTCTCAGCAGCATACCACCAGCTCCGGGTCTCACGGCCTTACGCTCAATCCATACGACTCGATCAGCTCGGGCTCGCATTCGAACTCAGCAGGGCCACACAGTCCACGGCCGAGCTCTATTCTGGACCCGAGTCCTTCACCTGCTGGCGCTGCAGGGAACGTACGCCGCTCAGGCACCTGGTGGAGTCGGCTGGCAGAGTCATCATTGCTACCCAAGCGACGGGCATCGGATGCGTCAAACCGTAGCTCGGCTCCAGGTTTTGTCAACGACTTCCGTGACCCTAATCCCTTACCGCGTACGGCGTTGCATCCTATTACCGAAGGTTCGCAGCAGTCATCTCCGGACTCTCCGCGAGGCAGTCGACATTGCGGAAGCTCGGGCGAAGAGCGTGTCAAGGGCATCCTCGGGAAGATCGGCCATGGCAAGAGCGTCAGCTCGATCCAGACCGCGAATAGCGAGACGATTGAACGTGTTGGTGGTATGACGATCGTACAGCGTGACGGCACCTACGATTCACAGTGGACGACTTCGCCCACGCAGACTGACGAGCTCGGGTATGGTCACTCGGCTGGACCCAGCAGCAGTTCACAACGACGCCCGCTCGTCGTGCGCTCGCATCCATCCGAGATCTCCCAGGCAACGACAGAGATCTCTGAGCCGGTCTTCGATCAAGCTCGTGAAGACACGCCTACGTTCACCGATACGCCTCTAGGAACCTCGGTCGCGGGCCATACGCCAGAGGTTTCGACGGTCAGCTCGGGAGGCATGCACATCAACATCCCTCAAGCTGTCCTTACCGCACCAAGTGGACCTCGGTCGCCCGGACTTCCTCACTCGCCCTCCTCCGTTCCTCGACGCATACATGATTACGAGCGTCGACTATCACAAAGCGCCGTACCCCAGAGTCCCGGCTCTGCACGACCTCCACTGCCACATCGCGAATCAAGTGGCCCTCGCGCAAGAATCCAGTACGGACTGGCTCCTCGCGCGAGCTTGTACGTTGCAAATCCGGACGATGCAGCCTGATGGGCTTATTCTCCGCTGTATACCTTTTCATCGTGTATGTTTTTTCCGTGTACCGCTCTCTTTTTGGACTTTGGACTTCTTTTTTGCTGTATCTTTACGACTGGTTGCCGCATCCGCATTCACGACACGAACTCACGATTTTCTCACTGTTTCCTCTCTCTTGATCCCTCGCTTGTACCAGACCGTGATGCGGCTGCTTGTCCCTTGGATCTTGGATGCCTTGGGGCGTCGTGTACTTGCCTGTACCTACTGTACTAATGCACCATCAATGACGCTACTTCGCTGCCAGGACCGGATCATCTCTTATAGGGGGCTCATCAGAGGTACACTCGTGTCGTTCTACATGCCTACTCCTGCATTATCCGTTGTAGGGCATCTGCTCGCCGAGTATATATGGGGCGCGGTTCGGGAGGCAGACGGCATCCCCGAAGCTGGCCCGAGGTGGATGTCGCATCAAAAGTCTGCGCAGGCCAATATTGGGTGTGTGATATTGCGATCCGTATGTGCATCTTGAATCTTACACCAGAAATAGCTTGTAGATCTATCTTTTGATTCGTAGATGAGCATTCGATATAGCCGGCACGCTACGATCCGCGGGCCGCGGGGTACGCAGACCTCTTCAGCTCTGTACGTTGTCGGCGTTACTGACATTCCTGATGCATGAAGAACACGTTGATTATGCACCGACCAAAAAGGACTCGGGCTTCAAGATGGTGGGCCACTGAGCCGCTTGATGAGCGTCAAGCACATAACCCGAGGCGACCCTTTTTGTCAAACGACTGTTAATACACGTGCATCTCCTCGTGAGCTACAAAGTGATGAGACAGTGACGGGCCACATCAACATTCAACGGTCACGGTCTGTGTCAGGAACCCGTGAGGTCCTGAATTCCAACCTGCTCAACTCAAATGCTCTCGGAAACAGATCAGGCGCAGAGACACGGAAGGATCTATGCAGGAGGATAAGGCGGAAGTTCGATCTATGGCCCTGAGAGGTGAAGGAGTGAGAAGGGCAACATGATGAACGATATCTCACCAGCTTAGCTACATTGCGTACGCCACAGACGGGAAGGTGTTGCTATCGCGATTCGCCACAATTCGCCACACGCCGCCCGACAGTTCAACTCAACACCGAAGCTATTGCCCCCCTCTAGCAGCGTTAAGGGTTGACCACGCAATGATACCAAACTGGGCAAACTGGTAGATTTGGCGAGAATGACTACGGTCGGTTTGGGTTAGCCTATGGCCAATTGTACATACTCAAAGGACGTCAGGGCTAAGGCGGACTCGTCCTGTCATGGGCAATTCGGGCCCTCAATCTCGGCGATTCAAACCTTGTCATGGAGGTGCCGGGTACCTGGTGTCTTACCCTGCTTCAGCCACAGGGACCTTATCTGTAAGAGCCATTGATAGCGCAAAGATCAAGCTGGGCAACGGTATTCAGTCGCTCGTGGCCATTGTAGGCAAGGCTGTGGACAACGATCTCAAGTGAGGCGTTAACATGCCAGTACGCAGAGTACGCCATAAAGACTCATCCGCAACGACATAATCTATTGAAGACAGAGTGGGAAGACAAATGAATGGTCAAACCCCTCCGGTAAACGCGGTGCACAGCAATGCCTCGAATGCCTTGTCCAGAAACATTTCCGATCCCGCCATTCGATAGCCTCATGTCCTCCATTCTACCGCAATCGAGTGACTCATGACCGATTGGGCTTACCGGAATGTGCCTATAGCATCGCAGATGAGACGCATCCGCAGATGATGACTGAGTAGAACAAGATATGTTCGGGAAGATGTACGCTATGGCAATGCCTGAGAGACTCATCCGTACCTCTGCGTCTCACAACTCTGCCAACTCCGCCAGCACAAATCACGCTGCATGAGCCGCAGCTGCTCAAACGTCTTGAGGCTGTGCAGCTTGAAGCTTGAAGCTTGAAGCGGTCCTGTTCATCGTAAGCTGGACTGCCGTGAAGCCGGAGTCGGGGCAGATTCAGCCGTACCACTTCTCCCGGGGCCCGACCGGGCTCCCCGTCAGTACGCGTACCCTAAAGCGGAGCACCGGTCGTATGACATGCATAACACGAGGCATTCAGCAAGATGAATCGTACCAGTCCGGTCTACTGCCCAAACTAGCGATACGAGGGGGTTCGGGGATAGCCGCCAAACCCGGAAAGTGAGCGTCAAGAAGTCCATCTTGTCGAAGGTGATCTATGAGCTAGACACATACATGTCGTTAGCTCTCCATAGACATCTATAGACGCAAGCCATAGGGCACTCAATAGGGACGTGACCGGACGACGGACGGACGGATCCAACATAGTTAGATACGAAAGATGTATTGTCGAGAAACGTGGAGTATTGATTGCAAATAGAACGACTATCACTCGAGCATCATCTCCTCAAGTCCATGAAGCTCTTGACGATCGAAGCTATACCCCGAGGGGTATACATAGCCAGATACGATGGGAACGAAAACCAAACTCACTTGCGAGCCTGAGAAGCCGGGTGTCCGTACGATCTGGTAACTCTTAGTATGCTGACAGCATGCTATCAAGCACCGTAGGATAGACGTAACATCGCAATGGACTTGGTGAGCGGAGGGGCACCGATGACGAGCACGTTGATGATGCTACCCATGCCCGCAGGAGGATGATGAAGGCGCAGCGCGAACGGGGGCGACAACGGGTGGCCGACATCAGAGATACAGGCTACAGCTTTGGTGTGTGAAGACCCAGAAGCCGATATTGAGACTTCAGAATGCCCTATTCGTCGCATACGGAGCACAGGTGGGTCTGAGCGGATACACGCTTGGTTCATAGCATATACTTGGCACATACAGTCTGAGCCTCGATTGCAGCGTACAGGTCGACAATATTGGGATGCGCAGTGATTACTCGCGTGTTTGCGGAGCCAACATGAATGCTACATGATTGCGACTACCGCACAACACAGGAATTGGTGCGCCATGATGACTGTCGTGGTGGACGTATGGTGTCCGGGAAGGACCAGCTCCAAACAAATGCCGTCAGCGATCGAGATCGCGGCGGGACCCTAGGTTTGGGTTAGGAATAAAGAATTGGAGGGTTTTGGCAAGTTCCTAGAACCGAAATCTCGTATCAATATCATGTATAAATACTGTACAGTGCGATATACCTGGCTCACATCTAGCCAAGATGCCTGTAGTTGTACAGTAGTCCTGGTAGGGTAGTCCGGGTCTCTCTTGAGTGACCACCGTGATCGTACTGCAAAAACGAATACTGCCAAGCGTGTAGTAGGCCATTGGCGGAAATCTCCACGTGGCAAGCCGCGCCGCGCGCACGGCACACGACGCGGTCGCCCCGCATCACCTACGACCTACGACGACGAGTGCGTACATCGCTCATTCTCCCGTGCATCTCTGGACGCGACGGATGCGTGTATCAGACGAGCCCGTGACTGCACCACGAGCTGAACTGCCGACATACCGTGCTTCACCTGGATTCATAGTGCTCGCGCTCCGTCGGTCTATGTGTTAGGTATGTACATTTCCGAGACCCTTTGGGTATTGCCATTCACGAGCATCATTAGGAATGCGAGAGCTACATTAGCATGCACAGCTGCTACACGACGTCCGCATCAGTTGCGTGCAGTACCTCGAATGCCACGGATGTCGCTGATCGCGCTGACCAAGATTCGACGCGGCGAATTCGCGTTCAAACAGCTTTCTGCGAGCCATCGCTTACCAAGATGTCCGGCTGCTCGCAACACCACGCTGTGCCCGGATGATGCTGCTTGCAATGCTCGCAAAGTCTACCGAGGTCAGTCTTCAGTGTCCATCCGTGCCATTCCCTACATCTGATACGCGAATTTCTTTTTGAGGATTAAGACCGCTTGTCCTTGCCCGGTCATCGACGCGCGCTAAGTGACGCCTTAGGTCGGCCGCGGCATTCGGGTGCTGTCCTTCCACGGGTCTTCGGGCACCTCGAGTGACGCCGAGGGCCAAAACCGCCACGAATGACGCTCGAGCGCATTCGGGAGACTCGTTCAGTTCTCCCTGTCCTCTGTCCATCGTGACCGGAAAGCCCGTGTTGTCAGGGCCGTGTTGTCGTGCGAGGTATGCTACCATGCAGTATGCATCCGCCTCTGGACGAGAAACATGTCATGGAGAGTGCGAATGCATGGCGAGTTGTGGGCTTCGCAAATCGATCCCTCTTTCCTCTAGCACTTGAACTGTACTGCTTTCTGTATTGCTACGAAATGAACTCGGATTCTGTGCATGTAAATACCTATGTCATAAACATACGAGACCTTAATTTACTGCACAATCCCCCTCCAATGTCAATTCCCTTACTCGTCGTCTTGTATCGTGTTCGGTTGCAGGTCAATTCACTTATTTCGAGCTCATCGCGAGAAGGCAGCTCGTCGCTGTTGACCGGGAATGTAAACGTTGTCCACGATTCCGGCAAAACGCCGAAGAAGCTCGACGTACACACACTAAATGGGTTCTTATCAGAACTCTGATTGAACGAGGCGCGCTGCACGTACGCGTGTACATAGCCCTAACTTGCCTTACTCCTCGACCATCTCCTTCGCCCTTGCGAGAGGGATATACTGCATGAGGCCCGCTCAAAGGTCGTTCAGGTGGCCTGGCTATGAGACCCGACTGGACTATGCGAGCCACACATGCGTGCGTCAGGACTCCGACGAGACTACACCAGTCAAGCACCTAACTGGCCGAGATACAGCTGGCACAGGACCTTAAGCGAGTGGTATCTGGTACGTGGTGTGCTGATTTATACAAACCATCAGCTGATTGCATGCGAACGCGACAGCTGTTATACCGGCCGACTGCCTTGCTTCAACCGCGACATCTGCCACTCGCTACGTTTCCTGCTTTGGATGCCGGGTTCAGCGGGTCTGGTATGTTTACAATTAGATGACACCTGTCCATACTGCTACCGCCCGCCTCGACGTATCAGCCATTGCACTTGCGACTACAGTTGTGGTGTTTGCTGGCACGTAACAGTATTGAAGAATGCATTGCATTGCATCCCATCGTGTGCGATCAACTGGTCTATCTGCATGCAACTGCATATCATCGTGCCTTCGCTGTGCCCGCTGCATTCGGTCGGTAGGCCGTGACGGCGGTTCGGCATTCTCCGCAGCAATTCCGTTCGTGTCCGCTTTGCTCGCAACTTTTTGGACGACACCCGACGCGCTGTTGCAGCCTTCCCTCTGCTTTTTGCTCTGGGGAGGATGGATTACACGTCTGAGAACCCTGATGGCCTACAGAAGTGTCGTAGATGCAAGGCCTCCAAACTACGTTCCGAAGTTCAATGGTATCCCCATAGGGATCCAGCAAAACCGGGCGGATTCTTGTGTTCGCCATGCGCTGGTTCCTATGAAGCACAGGGTCGCAGTGCTGTCTGGTCCCTCAGTCAGTCTCACTATCTCGCTCAATGATCGTCTTCGGCTAATACCTGTCAGTCCGGCCTCCTCAAAACTCCGCACCGACCTCGCAGGCGCCTCCTCCTGGCCAGCCTTCTGCACATGGCCAGATCGGTACGTGTATCAGTCTTGTGGGTGCAGCGGCCGTTCTCAATCACGATAGGTGCTCCTGTGTACTCCATGGCTCCCGCCAACTCGGTTCTACCTCAAGCTCACCCGCCCAGTGGTCCTGCAGTAGGACAGCCGCAGTGGCAAGGAGGTTACGATGTTGACCATAGTGCTGTACGCCACCTTGTGGCCACCGGGCGGCTCGGAGGTACATATCTCGTTCTATCGGGCAATACGGCCGGCTTATACATCCCACAAAGGTCCCGACGCCAAGGTCAATGCTCTCGGGTCAGGTATTAGTGCTATGCAGCAGCTGTATGGCATGTCACCATTCGGCAACGCTCAGTACACTATGCCGCCGCCGCCGCCACCAGGATCAATGGCACCTCCGCCTGTCGCTGTCGGACCTCCCCCCGCGATTGCTACGCGCATGGGCATCGATGTTGGCTTGCCACCTGTATATGGCAATCCCTATGCCAATCATGCCGCCTCCATACGCAGTCAGATCGAGCCCTTTGTACCCCAGGCCTTTATCGACAGATCATCGGCTGCGTTCGGTTATACAAACGTACATAAGTTGTACGATGATCTGTCGACGATGTACTACATGCAGGCGTCGACCAGAACAGAAACGGTCACGGTTAAATTTCGTCTATACTCCCTCGATCACAATAGCAAGGCCAAGGTATGCGTGGCTGAACTCGTTTGCGCTTTGGTTCTGACTGTATTTTGCAGGCAATCGGGCCAGCGCAGACATTCAGAGGCATCAGAGTGACCATCGATTCGGATAGTCTCCGCTTCATCGCGTGGGCAGGACTCCGCCCGCTCTTCATATCACGCTATCTCGGGGCAGATTTCGCCGTTGAGGATGTATCTCTAACCCTGAAGACTGGCGCCAAGATCCCTGCCCAGACGCCTCAGTGCATCCGAGCTCAATTCCTGAGCAAACGCAACACGACCAAGACAGAAAAGCTTACCGTCACATCGTCGTCCACTATCGAGATTCATGCGTACATCCCGCGTTCAATACTCCTGATAGCGGAGGAACATGCTGGCGATGTGGGGGACTATGACGAGACGAACGAAGACAAGCTCTTGCTCCTTGGTGAGCAAAAATGGGTATGCTCATATTTTACTTCAGTCTGTGTGTTCGCATGCTGATCGGCGTTTCTCGTAGGCCCAGCGGCATGCAAGACTGGCTTTATCTAGCTTAACTGTTGCGCCAAATCTCCAAGCGCCTCCCACGCCCATTGCGCCTGCACCAGTCATATCCCAGGCTCCTGTTCCAGTTGGCCACTCCGAAGCCCCAGGCGATTACCTCGCGCATCACTTGGTATGTGTGCTCCAATTCTCACTCCAGCCGATAACTGAATGTTCTGTCAGAACTTCCCTGCGGGTGCAGATGCGCGTCGCTCTGAATCTGGCCTCTCAGTTTGGACGACTCAAGGACAAGTTTTTCAGTCGCTTGAAAAACAAGGCGAGCTCAACGAGTCTCAGGCTGGCGCTATTTGTGAGTGATAACGTGGAAAGTACTGGGTGATACAATGCGCTTATACAACTCATAGGGCGAGAGAAGACTCGCCCGGTCACCTTTTACACCCGTCAAAAACGCACGCTGGACGAGCTACAAGACCCCGAATACAATCCGACCAAGGACGTCGTCATTAGCTCCGGCTCCATTCACTTCGACGACAAGCCCAAGATGCATGACGTGCAGTGGGGCGCTTTCAAGGTGGCTCAGATGGCGTACCTCGTATCTGGAACACCATTTCTCGAGCGAACCACGGCTAGTATGAAGTTGTGCTTGAAGCGGGTCTATCTCTCACAGAAAGACGACGGCGCTGCGGACGATGCTTCAGCAAAACGGGTTCTACTCGACTCCACCGGGCAGATACAGAAGATATCTTCCGAACAGAACTCGGAGGTCTGGTATATTGCGCTCCACGAGCGCTCGGTCGCGGAACTCGACAGCCGGCATGCGCGTGGTATCAAGGACATCGTCTCCCAATATCGTGGTATCCGCTTCGTTGGTGCAGCTTTGGCAAAGCTCGCAATGCCAGGTACGACTGTCAAAGGCTACGGCGCTTTCATGGTCGAGGAGTACATCTCGCCGTCTGAGCATGGTCTTTTCCGTAAGTATCTGGATAACCGGTCGCCTGTCATACCTGCAGGTCTCAGTGAGCGTGACCATGACATGGCCGACTACTTGACCTGCCTACAACATGTCCAGTACGAGTGCAGCGACCGCACACTGTTTGTCGCAGATTATCAAGGTCTGTCGATTTCCTGCTGAAGTTCTTCCATAGGATGACGCTGACATCATACCCCAGGTGGCGATTTCTTGCTGACAGATGCCCAAGTTATCTCAAGCGAATACGTACCCATCTCTCTGTAAGAGCTAGGTAGTAGCCATCTGATTGACTCGTACACAGCGGCTTCGTCAGCAAGGACTTCGTCGCTCCGTTCAGCGATGGCAATGTTCCTCAGCTCTTCGCACGCTTTCCACGCGACCACATCTGCGGGCGTTACTGCAAGCATTACCAACTTGCACCGCTCAATGCGACTAGTGTGACCGGTGCGCCATCCACAGGTGGGAGTGGCCATATTCCGCCGCGATACTTGTCGCAGCCAGCTTCAAGCCACGGGGAGGCGGACCGTTCTGGTAGGGCTGCTTCTCCAACGAGAGAAGAAGGCGGAACGTCCAAGCGTCAACGCTCAGCGTCAGATTTGACACCGCCCGCCTCAGGGGCCTCTGGAGCGGCAACGCGCTCATCGCGGCGCCGGAGGGAGTAGGAGTAGCCGGCATCAAAAGTCAGGATGACCTTCGAAGTGAGCTTCCTTCCAGCCTCTGCTATATCCATGGCTTACACCATGCCACGAAGCGCACATCAAAAGCCAGTCGTACTATAGTACCGCCAGACTTGGCACCCTTCCATCCTGTATCCCTCATGTCAGTTTATGTACCGCTCGCGAACAATGAAGATTGTGCCATAGTGCGATTTTCCAGTACTGCTCTCTTACATCTAGGTAGTATAGCACTCCGGCGAAGCCTGGACACAAAGATCGCACTAGGCGCAACGTGCACAGCGAACGCGCGGTCAGATTGCCTCAATATCCTGCACACATATGCCGACGAGAGTGCAAAATAAGCCCTCAGTAGTCCGATGGGTGTACGTGTCATGGGTGATGGATACAGGGCTGAACGGTGAGGAGGACGGACGAGATGCGGCCACACTCGGCAAGTGCCGGCGACGCGTCTTGACGCGCGATGCGTCTACGCACTCAACGGCGCTCAACCTTCGCGCGTATCCACCACCTCGCTGCTTCTTTTCCATATGATCTCACCATGGCTCGCACGAACCAACATCTCCCATGTCGTATGCGCACTCCCCTATATAATGGTGCTATATACTCACAATGACACTAGCGCCCGAGAACTTCCTTCGGCCGTTGATCAAGCGTCTACATCGGCTGGGTATGACAGACAGCCAGATCGCGAGTATGGTCTTGAAGCAAATCGACGCAAAGACATACGGAATTAGGTGCGAGCTCAGTAATTGTTCATCGGCCTTGACTAATATTCGAGTTGCATGGTAAGCTCGTCCACGATCAAGAAGCGACGCTCCGCGTGGAAAATATTTGGTGTTCGACAGTCTGGACATACGCTGCAGTCCATCGCCCCATCTGTCCAACAGATACGTATGCGCTATCCCAACATGGGTGCCCGTGATATGACAAAACGGTTACGCCTGGAGTTCGATGTTTATGCACCACGGTGTGTCATCTTATCCATTGTAGCATTGTTCGGTGCACTGACCTCCACTTACAGTGAACTCGTCGAGTTGTATCTTAAGATCGAAGAGCCTGAGGCCGTCGCTGCGCGCAAGCGCCGTGTCTTCAAGCGTCGTCGGTACTGGACTGCTGGTGTCAACGATTGCTGGGCATTTGATCAACACGACAAGTGGAAGCGCTTCGGGCTCTGGTTCAACCTCGGTCTGGATGTGTGCTCGGGAAAGATCCTATTCATCAAGATATGGTGGAACAACCGTAACCCTCGGCTCCTTGGCAACTATTACCTCGACGCTGTGGAGAAGATCGGTGGTATGTTCTCGAGCGCTAGCTTTGTCACAGTATACTCAGTCGCCTGACCATCAGCTGTCCCGATGATCACCCAGAGCGACCCTGGGACGGAGAACTACTCTGTTGCGAACATGCAGACGATCATGCGCCAACGCCTCGACCCAACTCTCAGCGCTACACTTCAGCACCGCTGGATGGTCAATGGCATGAACATCAAGCCCGAGATCCAGTGGTCCCAAATGCGCAGTCAGTTCTCCCCCGGTTTCGAAGCGGTGCTACAGCATGGAATCGACAGCGGTTTGCTCGACATGCACGAGGATCTTGAGCGGTAGGCCCCTCGCTGATCTTTGCGCCATGGCTGTTTCTAATTGGTCTGTCTAGCATGCTTTTCCGACGTCTGTCCATACCTTGGCTTCAGGAGGAACTTGATCGCTGGGTAGATCAGAAGAACTCGACAACACGTCGTGCAAACAAGTACAAGGTGCTCCCTCATGGAATCCCTGATCTTATCTATGAGTGCCCTGATGAGTATGGCGCGATGGACTTCAAGGTGAGCAGTTGAGGTTATCGAGCTGAAGACCGCCATTGACACCTGATGCTTCAACTTAGGTACCTGTGAACCCGGTGCTGATTTCGGAGATGCGTGCGGACTTTTGCCCTCACGACCACCCCATCTACCAGCTCGTCCCGCCCATCTTCGAGCAACATTTTCAAGCTCATCGCGAGGCTCTACAGTTCCCCGTCGTCTCGATCGCGAACTTCTGGGAGGTCTACAACCTTTTTCTGCATGCATTCATCACCGCACCATTCGATCAAGATCTATCTGATGTCATTCGGACTGCGCCGTCACCTCTGCAGGAGGACATCGCAGTGGGCGACCCCGTCAAGCTCTTGCCGCTGCCCCCCTTACGTGCGGGACTAATGGTCGAAAAGGCGGCAGGTCAGGCCCAGGGAGTGGGTGCTGCAGGCAGGAATGGCATTGCATTCGAGTACGTCGGTGGCCTGACCAGTCCCGATGTTCCGCAGCCGTTACTCGATGCAGTGAACCGTCAAGATGATGAACAGCATGCCAATGGGGCGGAAGATGAAGGTGACGACTGTGATCTCTTCGCGGAACCACGATACATAGAGTTCTCGGACGACGAAGATGACATCGAACTACCTGTACTGGGCTCTTGATTTACTACTATATGCACACATATATTTCATAGTACCTATCCCCCTACTACCCTTAGAACCTGCTTAATGAGGAACAAGCTGCTTTACCGAAATTGAGTGATAACTGCAACCGAGTGATAACCCTCTTGGATGTCCAAATTCGGACTTACGAGATACTCAGTATATAAGGGAATATCCGAAAATCAAGGGTTTCGGTGACTGAGGTTCCGTCCGTACCTTGCACAAACAATCGCCGCGATTGGCCCTCCCGCGATTCCGTTTTGATAAACGAAGCTGGTCCTTCCCGGACACCATATGGACGAGAAGGAGGAGCGCTCTGTATGACGACCGACGGGATGATGGAAATCACCGACGGGCCCTCACGACCGTGATGGCCGCCGTCTCGTAACACCGACGTGGCTAACCAGGACTAACCCGGAGAAAAGGAGTAAAGGTATATATCGTTGCTGATGGCGTCGTGTGGCTCCACGCCGAGGCCCCGAGGGGCACATACGATCCATCATGCCATTCCGAACTGAGATATGAGCTCGGTGTTCATTGTGAACCCCCGCACATTATTGCGCGAAGATCGTCTGCAGCCACTGACCGAGCATCTTCCCCACATCAACCCGCTGCTCATTCGCGGCGACTTCCCGCAGCACCCTTCTCGCTGTGCATGTGCTCAAGTCGTGCATCAGACACTCTGTATATGCGGATCGCAAGGGCAGCATTGGGATGAAGAACCTGGCATGATATCCTTTTCCTAAATAGGCTTAAGCGCCAACATCGCTAATTCAGAGTCATTCCCACCGGTAGATCACTGCTTTGATGCGGTAGTGGCACGAGGGGCGGAGACGAAAAGATTGGACGCGTCGGACTAGAGACGGAATCATGCAAGTGCAGGACAGGTGTATTCGAAGAGTTCTATCTCGTAAATAGTAGGGAGCGGATTGTACACGGAGATTGCACTCTCAAAGAACGTCAGGGTCTACTCAAGGATATCTGTATTTCGTTCGGAGGATTGCACGATTGAAATCGACGTGGCGGTAGAAAGGTACCGAGGCGTCTATAAGAAGTACGCGTTCAAAGCCGCAGAGAAGAGAGCGCATTGGGTCTTCTTTGTCGCGCTGATGAGCTTCGATATATGAGATCGGCCAGTGTGAGACTGCTGCGCAAGGATAGGAAGCAAGTCTACAGACAGTCGGGGCGCAGAATCAGACGTCGAGAACGGAGATAATAGCCATGCTGTGAACGCCCAGGGGTTACCACCGTACGGTACAAAGCAGACTCGCCAAGCCATAAGATCTAGGGGCGTTGCTGGTCAAACGTATGCACCTGTGCAGACGCGATTGACCCGTAAACACAGACTACAGAAAGCGCTGCTGACGATTCCGGTGGGGAATCGTCCGCCTCGGCTCTCAGAGTACAGAGAACCGATGGATGCAGCACTCTAGCAGCGCAAGAGTGCACTTGTAGGGCAAGTCCTCATGCGAAGGAGGGAGGTCGTGAAGCGCAAGATCCGGGTTTCGAGGGCCTTGCGGGCCATAGGGCCAGGACGGGAATGTGCCAAAAGGGGCTCTCGGTCTACGCGGAATCAATGAATTGTGTACGCAAAAAGACCGCGTTCACGTGTAGGTTGACCAACGGAGATCCTGTGCGTGAGCATCACTGCCTGCCACAGACACTGCTGATTAACCACCGCTTAGCCGGCGATAATCTGGCAGCAGGCAAAACTCCGTAGAGCTCGCCCATGGGCTGCTCGTAGACTAGACGCCTCAGGTTCAGAAAGCCGTACAGAATGCCGCGACGCTCGAGCAATCACTCTTCGATATAGTCAAAGGAACATGGTCAGCAGGCTGCCGATGTAGCCCGGGATATTTGACATACACATAGATAGTGGAGCGGGCTTAGCAAGATATCCCGCATCTTCGTCAGCGACGGTAATGGCCGTGCTTAGGGTTCGAGATCGTCCGTGACTCGCGTTCACTAGGCGGGTCCCAGGGACTTGAGGCGCGAACTGCAACGTGTGTGGACCTACAGGTCTTCGGTCGCAGCGCTAAGCTCCGTGTTTGAACAACATCTAAGAAGTTGATGAACACAGGGTCGCTACGCACAATAACCTCTATGGTCATTTGGAGGAAGCCAAAGACTCACGCGCTCACGATTCAAAGCAAAGCGACGAACAATTGCTGGTGCAGTCGGACGGAGTTGCACCCGGTTGACCGCGACAGATTCGCCACCGGTTGTCCGCAAGTCGCTATCACTGTCTGGTTGACAACCACGCAAGACATGGCTAGGGGAGGAATTAAGCACATGAACTGTCACAACCTGCTTCCGGAGAACAGAACGTCTGGGATCCGGAGCCCAGAAAGTCACCAAAGGACCGACCACAAAGACACGCCACCCATCTGCGATCTGATGAAGACGGACATGCTGTCCCTGTCTTCTGTCAAGGGAGACTGCCAGTGCGAGATGTTAGGAATAAAGGAAACAATCCAACCGCGACGAAGAGGTGACGCACAGCGCTAAAAGTGCCCTTCATATTCAGAGCACAGTCCGGCAGAACCGAATCGGGTGTGTGACAGGTAACCCTCTGATGCACGGGACCAAATCGAGTATGGTATTATGCGTACTGTAGAAGACTGAGCAAGGCATCCGGCTGACGGAAGCAAAAACCACGACATACAGTTTGGCCATCCGCGAGGCACAACGTCAAGAACGGAGAGAAGTCGTTAGGCGCCGGTCCGGCGCCTGTGATCCCTGCAGTCCGCTTGTTACAAGCCGTCGGCTGAATGACGTCGCGCTACTTAGTAGGCTAATTCCGCCTAAGGTGCCCCTGCCATCGGGGGCAGTTTGCAGGGAAAACAACCACGATGAAGACGCATCAAATTCGACGGAAATGGTTTCCCCATATGCGTCGATGATTCCAAGAAGGCGAAAAGGCCTGGCGATCGAAGATCCTGTGTACCAGTCAGCGTAGCGGTGCTCGTTTGACGATTTGCGTACTGTTCACGAACAAAACCTGTACTAGGGCGACGTATGTGCGCATGGGGGGTCATACAAGGGTCAGCCGTCACTTTCGTAGGGGCAGATTGGAAACTGGCTAGTGACCCACCCGATGGCGACCACACGTACCAGGAGATGGCTGATGGTGCCGTCTGCGAGAATCTAGGCAGTGCACCTCGCTGTATAGGGCTAACCAACAAACCCACGAGCCCGAATCTGGGACTCCGCACGGCCATGGCCGAAAGTTCCGTTGTCGAGCGAGGTTGAGATGCGATCGGGACAGCTATAATGCCCGCTGCTTAATTCAAGTCCAGAGCTCGTTTCCGTCCACATCACCCACTCCGGTCATCTTTCTCCCGCCTCTTCAAGACCGTCAGCATCAGTTCGCCTACTCAACGCGTATCTCTCTGTACTCTACCGCGATGGCTGCTGCTCCGGCTTCCGCGTCTTCGAGCAGTGCAGGTAACTCACCCACCCGCGACGCCTACACAGACTTGGGCTTCGACCCCGCGTTCTATGCTTCCCCATACTCGCACGCGTCGACTCTATCACATAGCCCCTCAGATCATCACAGCAGCCCGCCTCTATCCCACTTGACTACTATCCCTTCTCAGAGTGGCACCTCTTCCTCCGACGCACATCCAACCAACTCTCGCGGAGGTTGCTGGTACGCCTTGCGATCGAAGATGTCATTCTAGCCGCGCTAACGCAGTTTTTCTCAGGACATGCCGACTTCGACGCAAGGTGCGCGTCTGTCTCGGAAGAGGATCGTGTAAGCCAATAGTTGCTGACATCGGCATCATGACTACTAGAAATGCGATGAGCAACGCAACGAAGACGACTCATGCGCCACATGTCGTCGCCTCAAGGTCAAGTGCTTGGGTTGGGGTGCGCGTCGGCCTGACTGGATGCGGGTGCGTGAAGCTTCTCTATTGTTGGCCCTGTGTTGCCTGGTCAGTTTCATTGCGGGAGCTAAACGAATGCATTTCGCAGGACAAGGATGAAGTACAACGGTACAAGTCCGAGATCAAAGCGCATCTCTTGCGACAAGGCCTCATTCGTGGTCAGGTAATCATTGTCCGTCCTTTGTCGGGTCGAGGTGGATCTGACGGCACGCTCATTCAGCCCCGCGCTGGCTTCCCGACAAGTCCCAGCGATTCGCGACCCACAGCACGACGAGCTGCGAGTTCGCCCACGCATCCATATGCGAAAGCGCCTCAGGCTCGTAAAGCGTCTTTGGGTAACACTGGCTGGGAACAGCTCAGTCTGCCGGGTATGTCACCGCGCCGCATCAGCATCGGGATCTCGGACGCTCGCTGACTCCTTCCAGGGTACGCGACGAACGATCTGTTCGGTGCGAGCGACACATATGCGTCCGGGGTGCCGGCATTCCCACCCAACCACACGATCTTCGAGAGTCCACCACCGGTACCGCATACACCGTCCTTAACGCTGCCGCCGCTCGCGCCCGAGGTCTTCGATGAGGGACTACGGGCGTCCATCGAGGATCCGCGGCAAAGCCTCGTGAACTACTACTTCAGTGACGTGCGCGCGTGTAACTTCATGCAGACGTGCATCGCGACGAGGACAACCCTGTGGGAGGTATGCCGCAGATCAGCATTCTGTGTTTCATAGACTGATAGCCGCCGCCAGGTGCTTGTCAAGGTCAAGAGCAGCGCACTCGAGAGTGCCCTATGTGCCCTCGCCGATGTCTACTTCCAGTGGGAGGACATTCGCAGCCGGGCGCCAGGCTCAAAGTACGAGGAGACGCACCTGTCACAGTTTTACCTCAACGAGGCGACCCTTCGCATGAACACTTCGCGAAGCACTGGCCGGATTGGGAGCGCTGACGCTATTGCGGCGGGCCACCTTATCTCGTACTTCCTTGCGACGTCTGGGGGTAGCATACACAACAATACCGGCGCGCCGCGGTGGATGCCGTATGTTCAACTCGCTTGCGACTACGTCGGGCAACTTGGCGTCCATCGGGACCCCATGCCCCGCCGGATCCTCCGCGACATGCCGCCCGAACGAGCCTTGGCTATCAAGACGTCGATGGTAAGCTTTCGTCTTCTCGCAGATCGACCCCTAAATTGAACACGATCAGGTCATGGACATTCTTCTTAGCGTGGCCATCCAGCAGCCTCCGAGGCTTCTCAGTCTGTGGCGCCAGATTCTGGGTGTCCACGAGGGCGTGGACATTCACATCTCACGCTTCGTGGGTTGCACGGACATTGTCCTTCTCGCGCTCGGCGAGACTGCGGCGCTAGCGCACTGGAAGAGGGCGGAGGAGCACAAGGGCACGTTGAACACGCGCGAGCTCCTCGAACGCGCGGCCGCCATCCAACGCGCCTTGCAGCATCACGTCAATCCCGTCCTTTCCGGTCTCATTCCGGGACGTGAAGGACAGCCGGACGACCAGATGAACATGATGGCCGGCGGAGCTGCCCCTTCCCCTGGCGCAGAGGAACAGACTTGTCGCCGTCTGGTTGCCCGCATCTGGTGGGAGGCCGCGATGCTCAACCTGAGCGCCGTCGTACACGGCAGCAATACGAGTATGTTTCGGAAATCATAGCCTCTGATGGAAGCGTAGGGCTGATACCCCCGTGCAGATATCGAAGGGACGTCCCATACAGTCGCATCTGTGGTACAGATACTGGGGGCTCTACCCGTGACCGGTCTCGATCGCGCGCTGGTCGCCCCGCTTATGTTGACTGCGGCGGCGGCAGACCTCGCGGAGCACCGCACGACTCTGCTCACGCGCCTAGTCAAGATAGACGGGAGCAGCACCAACGTTCGTCACATCGAGACTGCACTGCTTGAAACATGGAGGCGCCGCGACACGACCATGAAGAACGTCGACTGGCGGGACGTGATGCGCGAAAACGGACTAACTCTCCTCCTGATCTGATGTACGATACACGCACCTCGCTCGCCTTGTATCATCGCTCGAATGCTCTCGCATTGATGTCTCAATATACCGCTCCAGCTATCCTCATCGTACACTCGCATCGCTCATCCTAGCCTCAGCCTACTCGCACTTCCAACTAATACCTCGTCATGTTTCGAATATCCTTCCGAGCTGTATCCAATTGTCTGTATGTTATATGCCAGTAATGCTATATGCGTGGTTGTCAGTACAAGACGAGATTGAACCGTAAGCAAAAGAGATTCACTGTAGGGAAGGAACAGCGAGAGGGATGCGGTGGTTTGCGCGAGTGCCAGCAACGCAGGGAGGAAAGGGAGGGAGAAATCATCGAGCGCAGCCACTTCCTCGTCCTTGAATATATATCCCGATCAATCTCGGAGATGTAGCAACCGCGAGGAAATCTATCGCATGCCGGTTGCGGGCGCTCAGCGCTGATCGACGCGCTCAGTGCCAAAAGCTGCGTTGGAATCTGCTCGGCGCATATGGGCGCTGTTGACTAGGTCCCGGCAGAACAGGAAGAGCACAAACGTCTAACAGCGTCTAACGATCGGAGAGCGGCCCGAGCCTGGTGACGCTGCGGGCGCCAACGCGGGCACGTGAAGTTCAAGTCGCGGGCCACGCACGGGCGCGAGGCAAGCGCGCTTCAACCACGTCTTGCTTCCTCCTCTTTCCTCCACCACCGTACACTGCATTATGTTCAAAAGCATTCTTCCTGGAAAGCGCCTACCTGCCGATGACGAGTTTACCATGGTCACTCCAGGACCTGGCGCTCTGAACGGCAAGGAGAATCAGCGCGTAGGATCAGCAGCGAACAAGTCAACTCGGCAGCCTCTATTCTCGGACAAGTATCGCGGAAAGAAGAATGCCGACGCCAACTCCCAACCCGCCGAGATGAATAACCAGTTTGATCGACTTCTTGTGAGCCTTGAGTTGTCATTGGACCAAACATTGACTAAAGTACTATTTACTGTAGGACGATCTGCAGATCCCGGAATATCTGCGACCACGACTGCTCGGCATGGAATCTACTGTGAAAGAGGCCATGCTCAAGTCCTCTCATACCCTTGTCATGCCTCAGACGTCGGATCGCCCTGCCACCCCACCACCTACGCGTGGACTTCGCCGCGTCCAAAGTGGCAGCTCCTTGAGCATCGAGTCTCCACGGCCGCAGAGAGTCGCTAGCAACTTCTATCAGCAGCCCAGCATGGCTATTAGCGGAACCACGCTTGTTGATGGACAACGAAGCCGTGGAATATCGATGGATCTGGCGAGGCCTAAGTCTCGTGGCGCCGGTGATGGTTCGAGCAAGTCGGCGAAGGACAAGGGCCCAGCAAAGACGCTTTCTCCAGTGCAGTTTGTGAGCCAGCTTACGAGCACCTCGAGCCTTACATTGCCTGTGGAGTCGGTGAAGAAGCTGCGCATCATGCTTCGCAATGAACCTGCCAGGTTAGATCATCCCTCCGAGATGACCGAGGATCATGTGTTAACTTGATTTCGTAGTTGGACGCAAGACTTCCTAAAGTCGGGTGGATATTCAGCGTTGCTGACGCGCCTCAACGAACTACTCGAAGTCGAGTGGCGGTGAGCCTCGATCGATTGTGCACCCAAGACGCGCTATTGACAATCCCGAAGTGAGGAACAGCACGACGATCAACTGCTGCACGAGGTCCTGCGCTGTGTGAAGGCTCTGTCGACATCCTCGATTGGCTGTTTTGCGCTACGGAGCTCTTGCCCTACACCATTTGTGCAGCTCCTTACGCTTCTATACTCGGACAAGAAGCCCGGCGAAGTCTCAACCCGGCAACTGATCGTTGACTTGCTTCTCCTCATCTTCGACTTGTACCCGGCATCTACCCTCCCTGCGGCCGGCAACTCTCCTCGTGCTCGTCGTTCCATGTCAGATGCTATCATGCTTCCCCATCCGCATACGAGCATCTTCGGTCTCATGAAGACACTGCTTCTTACGCCTGCACCCAAGGCTGCGGAGGCCCCAGAGACCGAGGTCTCTCCCCACGAGTTCATAGAGTCTCTCCACAAGCCACGAATCTACAAGACGTATCTACAGGAACTTTCCGACATTTGTCGCGACTACTTTTGGGTCTTCTGTCACCCGAATAACACCATATGGGTACTGTCAGAGGTGGACGAGGGTAAGGTTGAGAAACCCAAGGCACCCGGCGGTATGACTGGTGGTGTCGAGTTTGAGGCGATGTCGTATCTGGTAGGCTTCCATCCGTGACCCGTACTGTGAGAGCTTACTGACGAGGCGCTGCAGACGAGCCATTTCCGTTTACTCAACGCGGTCTCCAAGGCCGCGCTGGACCTCGGACATCCGCAGGACCACCCAGATTCTGCGTACCACCTGCACGCTGATCTTTTCCTGTCGGGCCTCGAGCGGATTCTTCTGGTAGGTGTAGCATCCGTTCTATCATTTCGCGTACTAACGCGTAGCAGATTGCACGCAAAGCATCAACTACGTACTACCCAACTTTACACCTCGAGATTGCACGCTACGCAGCTCTCGCTGGTCAGTCTCGTTACGAGCTTCCGTGGACGGTCAGCCGGCTGGTAGGGCCACCTCCCGCCCCTCTCGCTCGTCGTGTTGCACGCCCAGCGGACGTCGCCACCCGCTTCACCCGCCTTACCGACACCGCGGCGTGTGACGCCTATGCACTTCGACTAAGCGCCAACGACGTTAGTTGCCGTAGTTGATGATCACAACGACGACAAAGGACCTCAAACAGTTCGCTGTCTACGCCATGATTCCCGTTTGTTGTTGCGATCTGTAGACCTGAGATGTTTTCCGCCTTGCTTGCTATCCGTCCTGCTTTGAACTCCGACCCATGACTGACGCCCCTGTTTCCTTACCGGATTCGTATCATCACTGTAACCTCTATGTCCGAAAGGGCCTATGTACGTACGCACATGCACATTTGAGCTGGCCCTCGTCTTTCACACAAACGCAACATCGGAAGGGACCAAACTCCGAGTCTGATGGCCAATGGGATTGTGAAGGACCCTGCCAGAAAAGCGTACATGTTGTCCTAAAGATGAATGTGTTCATAAGCAGGCACCAGTCGTGTATGATCTCTTGCTATTCATCGTCGCAGGCATTTCACATCAAAGACCCGTGTACAGCTGGAAGGTTCGACCATCACGTTCAACTGGTCTTGCTTCTCCCGCGAGTCCATTGCAGTAAGGCGGCAAAGTCTAATCGCTCCATCCTCGGGCGATAACCAGACAGCAGGCTTCTGGTTCTTTCAGCATACGCACGTACGCATACCGACCATCAGCGTGATAGCCGCCATACCCTCTCTCAAAGCCACCATACTCTTCTCAGCATGGCTGTGCCTCAACAGAGACTGCCTCCGGAGCGCGTGGGCACAACGCCGCTAGGGAAGTTCGAAGGCGAAGGCAGGGGTCACGAACAACTCCGGCGAGATCGACTTGGGTGGGAGGTCGCTTTCCGAGGTGACTTCTTTACGCGCCGGTGCGTGTTCTTGATCCCTTCGCGGACACACAGACGTGCCCGTAGGCGCCATACTGGTATCTTAGGTGCGGCGGGAAGGCGTGCACGCGGCAGAGAGAATTCAGTCAGGATCATGGACCCTCTCCGCAACTTCACTCTCCGGTGGGACGATGGGATGCGCCGCGATGGTCCATCGATAGGTGGCTGATAGATATGTTTCATGAGCTACGCTTGTTCGAGAAAACGGGTAAAAGGGACCCGCGCTGTGGCAATGTAGACTGCGAGGGAACTTCCTGCGTCAGTGCGGAGTTTACCGCAAGAGTGACGTGGTGAAAAGGATAATGAAATGGTCGAAAGAGCAATCCCTGGACGACACGTCCAACTACCCTCGGACTTCTGCGTGTCATACTTTGAGTTCATACGAAGGAAAACGAACAGCAAACGAGAACCGCACGATACCGTCCTTTGTGGGATGTACCTCATGGTGCCATAGATCATCTGGGCTCCCGCTTTTTGCAATGGCACTGAGATGAAGCTCATCGATCTTCATAAGCCCCTTTCAGGCGTAGAAGAGCTATATCATACGCAAGAGATGATGCATTCTCGCACAAGCCTCGATCGTATAGCATTCAACGTTCAACGTTCGCAGTCTCCTGGGATGTGCGTACGCTCTCACAGAACACATCGGCGAGACGGACACCTAAGGACAAGTCGATACGAAACGGTCACATTCGTGATGTGTGGCGTAGAAGTTGTCGCGTCTTGAACGCGAGAACGCTCCTCTCCTGCGACCCTACCGCGAGAAGCACTTGGGTCATACAGAGGGGCTGACGCGGCCGCGGCGGGAGCGAGCTACCGGTCACAGTTAGGCTGCCGTTCGATGAGATCCGCCCCTCCCAAGCAACCATCATGACATGGCCGCACCAAGTTTGTCGGATGTACGGAGTCCGGACAGTAAGCTAGCCACACTGGGTTCATTAGCCTTGTCGACCCCGAGTCGACCCGGTTCGGTTCGAGCGAACTGGCAGTGACAGGAGCGAGATAGATGACGGATACAAATTAGGTCGATAAACAAGTCACATACACCTGACCCGGAATACTAACGGAGCTGAGTAAAAGTACAGAGAGATTTCCTACCAAAATAGGCGCATCTCAGAGCTTACTCTTGCCCTTGAAGTCAGCCAAGGCTGTCCGCTTCGTCATTCTGGCAAGTCGTCAGACAGGACATCCGCGTGAATACAGAGCATCTTACCCGGAGTGGAGCACTGGCGTAGGTTCTTTCTTCAATCCTTTCGTCGCTTGACGCTCTTCGAAGCCGACGTAATCCCTCTTCCCTGCCCCGACATATACTTGCCTGGGTCGCCAAATTTTGACGCCGCCTTGCTGAAGCATCATCTGTCGCCAATGCGCAAGCCATCCAGCAACACGGGGTACAGCGAACAAGACGGGGAAGAAGTCCAGCGGGAAACCCATCGCCCGATATATCAATCCAGACCAGAAGTCGACGTTGGGAGCGAGCTTGCGCGACGTGAAGTACTCGTCTTTGATGGCTGCGTCGTGCAGTGCCATCGCTGTCTCGAGTAGTTCGTCTTTTCCGGTCACGGCAAAGACCGCGTCAGCCGTGCGGCGGATGATGAAGGAGCGCGGGTCGGATGTCTTGTAGACGCGATGCCCGAAGCCGGAGAGTACCTTCTCCCGACGCTTCACGGCCTCGAGGAAAGCGGGGACATTCTCGGGCTTGCCTATGGAGATGAGCATGCGGATAACTGCCTCGTTTGCACCGCCATGGAGTGGCCCGCTACGTGGGTGGTCAGTATGAAATATAACCAGAAGCACGTAGTGCATCGGGCGTACTAGAGTGATGCGCATGCAGCGGCAATGGCGGAGTAAGGGTCTACTAATGAGCTACCAGTCTGCAGCATCGTCGTCGCCGAGGCATTGAGTTCATGGTCCGCATGGAGCAAGAAGAGCGTATCGAGGGCTTTCTCGAGCACAGGCGATGGGCGGAAGTCTTCCTGGCCCAAGTGATCCATCATGTAGAGGAACCTGTACAGCTTTGTCAAAAGCATTCACGGCATGAGTACGCTCTATTACTTACTGTCCAGTGTAGCTCAGGCCTGTTGGCGGTACTACGAAATCGCGGCCCTGACGAACACGGTATGCCATGCTGTTATCGCGTCAATACCATGAATATCTGATTATTATTCGATCGGAGATTAACTTACGCAGCGAGCGTTGTGGCCTTGCCTAGAAGCCTGTAGATCTGCTTATCCATGTTGGCGAGCGATACAGTATTGCCCTTCGTGAAGAGTGTTTGACCTAAACGCGTTTAGAAACCCAATATTGAGGCTCAGACAAGCCGCGCTTACCTTGCAATGATGGGTTTGCCTCCGAATAGTATGAGCCGAGGTAAGCGAAGGCGGATGTAAGCATAGCCATAGGGTGCGCATCGTAGCTAAGATCACAGACATAGTAAGCTCGGGACACGATAGGCAAGCCACGGAGTACAAACCGGAACGAACGGAAGAACGTCTCGGCGTCTGCGTGAACAGCGGAGTGGTGCAGAACCTCCGTTTCGAATAGTTGATATTGCTCCTTGCTTGGCAACTCGCCGTAAAGGAGAAGATAGGCGGTCTCGAGGTGCGTAGACTTTTCAGCGAGCTGCTCAATGGGGTATCCCCTGTAACGATCGATATGAGCCCTACACTAGTATCAAACGTGTGCAGGGTGCGGACCGGACCTGTAACGCAACACTAGAGCGGGATTCATTAGCATTCGTCTTACAGAGACTTGGCACGGAATAATCACCTCCAGCCTCTCCATCAATGTATGTGATCGTGCTCTGAATGACTGCTGTGTTGAGGAATCCCTTGTCTGCAACTCGCAAGCCCTTCTCCGTCTCGTTCTCCTCGCGTTCTCCCTCTTTCCGCGGCGCCTTAATCGCCTTGAACGCGGTTGCGGCGACGGTATTGTCTGTGATCCTACAGCCCATAGGCCATTATTGACCCGAGCTCCCGCTTAGGCGCTCTGGAAGGATCACATACGGAATGGTATACGTCTTGCCGGTGCGATTGTCCCGCACGGTGAGGGTATCGGCGTTGCTGGCAGTCGTGGGTTGACCCATGGCAGCTCTATGGGGTATGCGGCTAGTCGAGGTGGTGGTGGTGGTTGAAGCACAAGTTCTGAGACATGCCGGACCGGATACAGCTGCCTCGGTACTCTCGAGCGGGTGAAAGTTCGGCTTGAGCGCGCTATTCACATGTCCGCGACGCGCGCTTCTGACGCGTGTCGTCATCGGCGCTTCGGCCAAGCCTCGGTTAACCATCGACCAATACTTGCCCGGGAACTACCACCAGTATCTGATCCAGTCAGCAGTAGATTTACGTAATCTTCTCGTTTACTGCAGCGCGGCTAGGGCGCACTCGCAACTCACATGATCGCGGCGATCGAAAAACGATATGTCTCAGGGACGCTTATTTAAGCTGCAACCACTATCACTCAAATATCTCGTTCTTCATCCCCAGATCATGGGTCAAGCTTCAAGCTTCAAGTCCAAACCAGGACCTGCTCCTCCTTTGAAATATCAAGTCCTCAACAAATGATGAAGCGTCACAGAGATTGAGTCGTTCGTTGCGTCAGAAGCACTGGGCACCCTGATCTGACGCGTACACTATTCGCGCAATCTAGTTGACTGAGTTCCTCTAAACATCGCGGCTGCATTCATGACACTAGCTGTAGATACCATACGCTCTACGATGCATGAACACAATGACAAAGCATTTAACGCAGCGCATCTCTGCGCAAGAGAGACAAAAGGTAACAGGATAACAATTCGAAAAGCTATACGCAACAAGGCACAGTACAAGGCTAGCGACAACGTCCAGTACAGACAGCATCTATTCTTTAATGGGGGGCTCGGGGGAGTGCAATCAAGCGAGTCAAGCACAGAGGAGATGGGCTCAATGCATTACACGACGGAGATCTTCTTTGGCTGAGCCTCGGGCGCTGTGCGCGGGAAGCTCACGCTCAGCACGCCGTTCTCGAGCGATGCCTTGATCACATCCTCCTTGATGCCCTGCGGCACTGGAATGGAGCGCGAGATCTTGCCGAAGCGGCGCTCGCGTACGGTGTAGCCGTCCTGCTCCTTCGTCTCGTCGACCTTGGTCACGCCGGGGACGGTGAGCACCGAGCTCTGCGCGTCGATGCTGACGTCCTCCTTCTTGAGGCCCCGGGAGCTCGAAAGTCGGTCACGACCTTTTCCTCCTTGTCTTCGTGAGCGTCCATCCTGAGATCGATCATCAGTATGATGGCTTGGGGCACAAAAGGTAGTGAGGTGACATACTTGGGGCGTGGGGCGCTTAGAGACGAGTTCTGGCGCGGGAGCTGGCCGCCATTCTGTGTGCGGCTCGGTTCGTTGCTCGCGTTGAGCGTCTCGTCGAAGAGGCGGTCAAAGTCGGAAAGGGAGTAGAGGGGCTTGTAGCAGAAGTTGGTGGGCGACATTGGTGGTAGAAGCGTAGAGTGTTTGTGTTCAAAAGAGGGTGAGCGCGAAGGTGAATGTAAATTATGCTGGGAATGGCGAGCTCATCGGTCCTCTTATTTATACCTGCGTCGGCAAAAAGTCCGCGGTACAGGCAGCATTCGATGAGTCATTGTAAGCGAGAGAAACGAAACGAACAGAGATCTCGAAAGCACGGCGCAAGCGCAACATGGAGGTCGAGAACAGATGCGGGACGTGTATTAGACGCCCGAATCCTCGGGAAATGCCGCCGCACCGTGGCGAGGCTCGCCGAACCCTGGCCGTCTTCACCGTTCCATGAGATCAAAGGCAGCTCAAACAGCTGTGCATTTTTCTTTCATGGCTATAGCCAGAGATCGGGAGGCAGTGCACATATGGGCTAGCAGGCGACATCAGGATAATATTCCAACCTCACATGATCGTAGCGTGGCCAGCGTTTTTCTGCTTCCGCGCGCACACCAGGTTGTCTGGCGACCACCATCTCTTGCTCGCTTTAATCCGTTGACCTATTGTATATCGATCCCATCATGGACTCGCAAAGCAGGTGCGATGGTCTGATTGTCGTGTTCGCCTCTGGCATTGACATCTAGTCTTGCAATCAGTGACGATCTCGGGTCTACAGCGCTAGCGCACTGGCTTGCTGCGTATAGCGCCCGAGCTGCCGATCTCAAGCTGCCCTCTGATACCGACATCGTACTACATGATCTAAGTGTCAATCGAACTACAGCTTTGCGAGGTCTTTTGGACGCAGAGGTCACTGGCCTGCGCATCGTCATGAGCAAGATCCTTCACACTCGCAACCGGCTCTCCACGTGTGATAGCCTCCCTTCCGAGATACTCGAACACATATTTATGGACCTCGCGGGCCAGTCGCCTATGAGTCTAGGTTCGAAGGATGGGCCTGTGGCTTTAGGCTGGGTGAATGTTACACACGTGTCCCGGCGATGGAGGAATACTGCCATCAATTACGCCGCCTTGTGGTCAACGATTGCTTTCGATATAAGCCAACCGTGGCCGGTCTTTCTCGAGCGCTCGAAGGACGCACCGCTCACTATAATCGATGGCAGTGGACGCTCTCCCAATGCCAAACACGTTGACGAGCTTTCGGCTCACAGTCAACGGATCAGGGTTTTATCGTTGGGGCGGACAAAATTGTCCTCGCAATGCATCGCTGCCCTCGGACGCATGCTCCACAAGCCACATCTTGCCCTCCATACCATCCTCATCGAAGCAGGCGGCCACTCCTCGTCGTTTGACGACATCCTTCCGCCCGATCTCATGTCTCGCGTCATACCTAATGTTGTACATCTTGACCTGAGATCGATGGGGTTGCCTCTGGGAGCCAATGCGAATAGCTTGCAGTCGTTGCAGCTTAGCCACTCTCACAAATCACGGCCCACCGCATATACCATCGAAGATCTCCTGGATACGTTGCGCCATTCGCCCTCGTTGCAACTCCTTTCATTAGGATATATGATGCCTGCCCCCGATGACGAGGCGCACGATCTACATGCGAATCATGTATCACTGCCCCATCTCAAAGTACTGTCTCTACAGGATCAAGGCAGGCTTTGCACCATCATTTGGTCGCTTCTCGATGTGCCAGCCACAACCGAAGTCCTGATCAAGGAACAGCCAGGCTATGAGCTATCCACTGTACACGACATTCTCGCACCTTTCAGCACTCATTCCCATCGTTATCTTAATCAGCCGACTCCTCCAGACTTGCAGTTGGACATAGACGTCTATGTCCGCACCACCACTACGTTGAGGCTCATATGTCCTGGCAAGAGACAGCGCTCTATTCCGACTGCCGGTACTACACGGACGTACACTCCCATGCGTTTGAGTGTACTGACACCCTCATTCAAACGCCAGGATCACGACGTACTCTGTGTATCCCTCCCAGCGGCAATACCGACAGAGCTCATCAAGGAAATACGCTTCAATTCGCAGTATCATGGGGCCTGGCCTTCATTCACGCCCCGGGGCATCCGCTCTATGTTGTCCGGCATGAAAGCTCTGTCAACCCTTGAGCTTAAGGGCCCATTCGCAGGATATGTTTTGTTGGCTTTGTCCGGTGACGATGAGCAGGCACCCGTTGCGCCCACCCTCAAGCATCTACGGGTAGATGCAGTCTGGTTCTATGAGGAGGTTTTGCCTGGCAGGGCCGGATCGTTTCTCGAACTTCTCGACCACACCCTCGATACGCGATACGCCAGACACGGTCTCGCCTTGGAGTCACTGTCAGTCAGATCGTGCAATGAAAGGGCAGAACCGGCCACAAAAGTAGAGCATCTGAAGGATCCAGGGAGATGGGGAGGGCGTACGCGGGTGAGTACGTACGAGATGGTCGAGCCGTTCAGTGATTAGAGATTGTATGATTCACAATCGGAATGAACTGTGGATGACGACTCGAAGAATACTATCCGTTTCATTCATGACTATGGTACGATATATCGAAAGACAGTGAGATAATGAGAAGGCGAAGAAAATCAACACAAACAAAGCACGTATGTAGTGTGTGCACTACCACAGCATACAAGAACGATGCGACTTCCATCCTATCAAACGAGAACATCAATATCAAGAGTAGAGTAAGTGCTGGCGTGTCATGCAACAGCAATCTTCTTGGGCTGAGCCTCGGACGCTGTGCGCGGGAAGCTCACGCTCAGCACGCCGTTCTCGAGCGACGCCTTGATCTCCTCCTCCTTCATGCCCTGCGGCACAGGAATCGAGCGCGAGAACTTGCCGAAGCGGCGCTCGCGTACGGCGTAGCCGTCCTGCTCCTTCGTCTCGTCGACCTTGGTCTCGCCGGAGACGGTGAGAACCGAGTTCTGCACGTCGATGTTGACGTCTTCCTTCTTGAGGCCCGGGAGCTCGAACGTCGCGGTCACGACGTTCTTCTCTTTATCTTCGTGCACGTCCATCCTGAGATTGGTCGTAAGTACGGTGGCTTGAGGTGTAGAAGGTAGAGAAGCAACATACTTGGGACGAAGGGCGCTCAGAGATGAGTTCTGGCGTGCGAGCTGGCCGCCATTCTGTGCGCGGCTGGGGCCGCTGCGCGCGTTGAACGCCTCGTCGAAGAGGCGGTCAAAGTCAGAAAGGGAGTAGAAAGGCTCGTAGAAGAAGTTGGTGAGCGACATAGTGGTAGAAGCGTGGAGTGTTTGATTTCAAGTGGGGGAGCGCGAAGGTGAATGCGAATTATGCTGAGGAATGGCGAGTTCAATGGCCATCGTATTTATACCTGCACGCGGAGAACATTCGCGAGGCAGGCGACGTGCAATGCGTCATTGTGAGTGGAAGAAAGGAAACCGACAGGGCTTTCGAGAGCACGGCGCAAGCGCGACATGGAGGTCGAGAACAAGTGCAGGACGCGTAGAAGACGCCCGAAACCTCGGGAAATGCCGCCATGCGCAAACGTCGCCGAAGCTTGCCCGAGGTGGCGAACTGCACAGTGCACATGCAAGGGGCCTCCCGGACGACTTGCAGCTGAGTATTGTACATCACCAAGTAACCCCCGCCAAAATGCTCCTCAGCGAGTGGTACGACAGGCATTGTGGGCGCAGCCTCGACGTGGAAGTTGAGAAGGAGCTGGGGAGTGAGTCTCTCCGGGAAATGCCGGCACGTGGGCGTGGTACGGCTATATGAGTATGACCCTACGCCCTATGGACGGTATACTTAGCCACCACCACCGCACCCTGTATCATGACGGTATGTCTGAAATCATCCTATCAGGGTGATTGAACTTGAATAGCGGTCACCGTCAATAGTTGTCGGCGGATACACTCGGCGACCAGGAGTCAGCCTGTGAGAACGCAGATTATGAGGATGCGCGTACGAGCACGATGTCGCGCATGTCCGGCCCGTAGGAACATTCCACAGCGAGCTCAGCGTATCACAGTACTCACCAGCACTTCCAGAGTGACAATATTGGGGCTAGATGATGACGTCCTTCGAGAGATCTTCTCTTGGTCCACAGCCAGTGTGGACCAAGTATGGGGAGTCGGCGCTACCTTCGAGAACCTCGCGTTCAACGCCATCCTCCGCGCACGCCACATGTACCTGCTCGCTCGCATCTGCCGGAGGTTCAAAGACATCGTCTATGGACACGCTGCTCTTTGGGCCGCCATCGTCGGTGTGCCGGGCGACGATGAAAGCCTGAGCTTTGTACTTCAGAAGACCTCTCAGGCACCCCTTACACTAGTTCGTCCCTTCTTCGACGCTGTCCCAGACGCCCAGCATGATTTCGCAAAGCATAACATGCATCGATTCGCCATCCTTCGTTTGAAGCAAACCAGAGATCGCAACTGGGCACCTGTACTATCGGGACGCACCCTTCCCACGCTCACGGGTCTGAGTGTAATCACACACCAGGACCCGTTTTACAGAGGCCCCCCTCTGGTTGTCGGTCAGACTTTCCCCGTCAAAACGCAGCCGCACTACGAGGATGACATACCTCCTCTCTATGCGCCGAATTTGCGCTTTCTCGAGCTGCAGGCCTTCTACATCCCTTTCCGAGCGCCACAGCTCCAGGACCTGCAGCTCACCAGCATCAGGGGTCTCTCACCTCCTGCACTGATGGACGCACTTTCCGCTCTGCCTCTACTCCGGAGGCTGTCCATAGTCCCTGGCAGGCCGTCTATGGGACCTCAGGACGATCTCCCGGACGAATGGCGCTGGGCAGGCTCCCCCATCGTGTCCCTGCCAAACATCGAGTATGTGCACTTGGAGGGAGTCGAGAGCACGTTCGTCGCCGGTCTCTTCACCTCTGCCGTTATACCTCTCAGTGCGGGCATAAGCGTCCACATCGGAGTTCTCGCGGGCATGGAGGACATGGACGCTATAGCGTCAGCCCTGCGCCGCTTCATCTCGTATCCCGCTTACGACTCTGTCCGCTTCCAAAGCGGCGTCGTCTTTGATCTCTTCACACAAGGAGCCGACGAGAGCGCTCCCCGCATCTCGCTGAGAATGCCGATCATGTCCACCGCACGCGGATATAACTTCTTCGAATGCGTGGCAAAAGTCGCACAACACCTTCCTCGTCGACACGTCTAGTTCCTCGACCTCACCGACACATGCGAGGCGCGTCCAGCATACGACCGAGAGAAAGCCGAGGCGTCTCTACGCAAGATTGCGCCTTCGGTCCATACGCTAGCAATCAAAGCCAAAAGCGCCATCGAACTCGGCTTCCTCACGGACAAGCGGTCTTTGCTCAGGTTTCCCGTTCTGCGGAGGATTGAGATCACAGCTGCGTCTGATTCGCATTTTAGTCACGGCGACGGGAATCCGGCGGGATGGGATACGCTGTGCGATTGGTTAGTCTCGAACGGAACAGCCGCGAAGCAGCTTAAGTGTATACGCGTGTCCAGTCGGATGTACCTGACGGGCGAAAGTCTCGCGCGACTGAGAACGATCCTTTCGAGACACAAGAGCCCATGTCTGATTGACGATGAACGCGATAACATGTGAAGGACCGTCAGTACATACTGCGCAGAGTTGCTCCCATAAGTCAAATAGCGGCAATGTTCACGTTGGATACAAGTACTTTACCGTTACCAGACGCTCGAGGCTTGGGTACTGTATGCACGAAAGGGATCTTTTCCGAGTATGTACTCGTATGGCAAGTTGGCATGCATTGCATTCACTGGATCAAGATCATCCACGCGAGAATAAAGTAGAACAACCTGTTCCCCATGTCAGTACCCAAGCATACGACAAGAATGGCAGGACAAGGACGTACGAGATGGGGTATACAGCCAATACGATCCTATCCTGCTCAATATGCGTTCCGTCCAAGAAGTTCACAGCCGCTAGAAGCCCAATCAGCACACACCATGCGACACTCGTATGCAAGGGGTACACGTACCCCACATAGCCCACCCCCACGCAGCCAACGCAATCGGCGCCCTGACATATATGATACGGACGAAACATGAGATGAGCGCGGCGACATCCAAAGGCGCGATGCAGTATCCCAGTACGCATAAGCCTTGGAAGAAGGAGAGGCGGCCGCCGAGAAGTTTGGTTTGAACTGTCACGACGAGGGAACCGACGCAAACTATCACGACTACGGTGGTGAAAGTCGAGAGGGATTGGGCTGGGGGTGCCTGTAGAAGCGTAGATGGTCAGTACAAGAGGGAGAATCAAGGGAAGAGAGAGCAGACGTACGTTTACGGAGAGCATTATTGCGAGGGCCAGACAGAGGATGAGTGGGCCCCATAGATCCCAATCTCTACAGAGCTCGCGTCAGCATCGAGCACGTCAAGAGACGAATGGAAGATGTCAGCTCACTTTAGTACTTCGCGCGCTTCGCCCTTTCGAAGGGGGTACAGTACTTGAATGAGCTTGTTGTATATCGAGATCAAGTCCCTTCCCTAATTCGAGATTGGGTCAATGAAGTTCCAGATGTGGCGATTGATGGGAGACGTACGAGTGTGGTAGTTATTGGCTCGTCGAGCGTGTCAATCCCACCGGACCTATTCGAACGTCAGATTTCCTCCCTCTTCATCAATAGATCTTACATGCGTACCGCGTCTCTACCCTAACTCCACCAATGGCCTGCCGCCTTGCATTGCCTGTCGGTCCTCCACTCGTCGCACCGTTTCCTGACCCGCCAATATTACCAGACAGCTGCGGCGTCGGAGATGCAAGCTGTTCTGTTGCTCGAGCTTTTCCCTTGTCCTGGTGAGAGACCAAAGGTGTCGTAGGTGCGGACGTGCCGAAGCCGGGGATGTCCTCGTCGTTCAAGTCCGAGTCCGAATCATCTGTACATTCATATATGAATTTGGTACGCGAGTTTGGTATAGTCAGATGAGTTACCTGCAGGTATAAACTGGTTCGCGTGCTGCGGCGTCGACGCCATGATGATGGTGAGCTGCGTCCAGTGCGAAGGCAAGTGCCCGACCTTCGAACGCGAAACGGAGCGAGAGATGATCGGAACGACCGGCCCGGCGCGCGTAAGTCGCACGGTTGGCTGACGCGTCGTGAACGCGAGACGCGACGCGCGCCAGGCTCACACCTCGTCTCGAACTCCCATCTCTCTCTTTCCTTCCCTATTAGCGTATCGCGTCTACATAACTCACCATGGTATGATTTGCTATATCACGTGAGAGTATACGTAGCTCAATTATTGCTCAGGGTCAAGGAATGTCAGGCCTTCCGCCCGGCGCCGGCGGCCAACAACCCGGCGGCAACAAAGATGCCAAAGACGCCAAGGACGCCAAAGACCAAAAGAAGAAATGGGAACCTCCTCTCCCAACGCGCGTCGGCAAGAAGAAGAAGCGCGGCCCGGACAAAGCGTCCAAGCTCCCTCCGATCTACCCCACCACCCGCTGCCGCCTCCGTCTGCTCAAGATGGAGCGGATCAAGGATTATTTGCTGCTAGAGGAGGAGTTTATTGCGAACCAGGAGAGGTTAAAGCCGGATAGTGTGCGCGAGGAGAAGAGTGCGGCGGAGAGGAGTCGCGTGGATCAGTTGAGAGGGAGCCCGATGGCCGTGGGGACGCTCGAGGAGATTATTGACGACGACCACGCTATCGTGTCGACGGCGACCGGTCCGGAGAGTTATGTCTCCATCTTGAGCATTGTCGACAAGGATATGCTCGAGCCGGGATGTTCGGTACTGCTCAACCATAAGAACCAAGCGATTGTCGGTGTGTTGGCGGACGACACGGACCCTATGGTCAACGTCATGAAGCTCGACAAGGCGCCCACAGAGTCGTACGCGGATATCGGTGGCTTGGAGCAGCAGATTCAGGAGATTAAGGTCAGTTGATTTTATATTCACATATCCACCAGCGTATTCTAACGATATTCTATAGGAATCCGTCGAACTCCCGCTCACCCACCCCGAACTGTACGAAGAGATGGGCATCAGACCGCCAAAGGGTGTCATTCTCTACGGTGTACCCGGTACCGGCAAGACTTTGTTAGCCAAGGCCGTCGCGAACCAGACATCTGCGACGTTCTTGCGTATCGTCGGCTCTGAGCTGATCCAGAAGTACCTCGGAGATGGACCGAAACTCGTCAGAGAGCTGTTTAGGGTAGCGGAAGAGCATGCACCTAGTATTGTTTTCATCGACGAGATTGACGCTGTTGGCACAAAGCGGTAAGCCTAATCCACCGTCTTCCTTTGCTAGACTTCATGTTGACGTTTCGATAAAGGTACGATTCCACGTCGGGTGGTGAACGCGAAATCCAACGCACGATGCTCGAGCTTCTCAACCAACTCGACGGCTTCGACACCCGCGGCGACGTCAAAGTCATCATGGCAACTAACAAGATCGAATCTCTCGACCCCGCCCTAATCCGTCCAGGCCGTATCGACCGCAAGATCGAATTCCCCTTACCAGACGTCAAAACCAAACGCCACATCTTCCGCCTCCACACCTCGCGCATGAACTTGAACGAGGACGTCGACTTGGAAGAGTTCGTTACTACCAAGGACGACTTGAGTGGTGCGGACATCAAGGCTGTCTGTACGGAGGCGGGTTTGTTGGCGCTTAGAGAGAGGAGGATGAGGGTCAATAAGAAGGACTTTGAGAGTGCGAGGGAGAAGGTGTTGTATAGGAAGAATGAGGGGACGCCGGAGGGGTTGTATCTGTAGAGCTCTCATCGCGGTGTTGTTTGACGTGTAATATATTTTCAGGACTCTGTCATTTTGCCCTTTTCATGCATCACACGTTGAGAAGCTCGATCTCGCGCACTACATTGGTGGGACTCGGGCGCGGGAAGTATCTCCGAGGCTAGCCCGAGGGCGTCACCGGCGCAGGCGAGCTCTACATTCTTGCACCACCGCGGTTCTGCCAACCTTGTCCACTACCATCGGTTGCCCACGAGATCCCTACAATTCACGACTTCACACCCCACCAATCACTGACAAGTGCTCATGCTTGTATACTTGAGAATAACGCACGTAAATAAATAAATATGGTACCCAGTACTGCTAGAAGAGAGCTGTGCTCTAGACCCGATCCGACAACCCGCCTGAAGAAAGTACGATGAACATGTGGCGCTTAGACTGGTACGAACGGCCCCGGATTCTCGTACTGCCAAAGCACCTTCAACCAATCCTGATGCTCCGACTCCGAGTAGTTCAGATACGGCTCGAACGTCAACACAGCGCCCAACGTGTTCTCCGCATCGTTCTCAGCATCCTCCATCGCCCTAGCACGCACAGGCACATCCTTGTCCCTCTCAAGTCTCTCAGCTTCGAACGTCTCCCTGTTCTCCGCGCGCTTGTACAGGGCCCGGCGGTACTGGACATCTCCGACCTGAACCTCGGGCGCATTATCCTTGGCCTCAAGAGGCACAGTCATCTCCCTGTCCACGCTCTCCCTCGCCAACTTCTTCTGCGCGTCCCGCATAGAATAATACATCCCGCCCGGCATCTGCCCGTGCGCCAACATCCTCCCCTCCAACTCTAGGTGCAAATGAATGAAACTCAAGAACCATGCGTCGGGCGGGTTCTCGGTAAGCCGTTCGGCGAAGACGTCCATCAAGAGGGAGTCGACGACTTGGACGCATCGGGCGGCGGATTCGTAGGCGATGTTGTTGTATAAAGCGCACGCGGTTGCTGTTTTGACTTTTGGGGAGGAAGGGGCCGCGGGGAGGGCTTCGTAGGTGAAGTTCCAGCGGTGGGAGAGGGAGGAGAGGAGGTTGAGTTCGGGCCAGACTTCTGAGGTTGAAGTAGGGAGAAAGATGTGGCCCCATTCGCTCATCTTTGTGCACAGGTCGGTGGAATGGACGTGGAACCGCACGGCGTGTCCGGCCCACATGTGCGCCCAGCACGTCGCGGCGTCGAGAATGGCCCGAATCTCGCGCCGACCCAGCTCCGGCAATGGTTCGTTGTTGGAAGGGAGACAGTCGCGGCGGTGCATCATGAATGATTGGCGTTTGCCTAGGATATGCCATGTACCGCCCGTCCCGCATCCGGTCTTGTCGACTCCGATGTACACGTCGAACCAAGGCAAAGCGTGGGAAGGCCGGATGTGAAGACGTTTCGCGGTGGGATGAAGGACGGTGTATAGCTGACGGAGGATGCAGAAGGGATCGCCGTATTCATCCGGAGTCAACTCGTACGGTACAAGATCCCCTTCTTCGACCGAGTCGGGGATGGGAGGAAGATCGTCGTTGGCCCAGGTCGTGAGGTCGGCCGTTTTGTGGTATTGGAGCATGTCGGCGATGAGGCACCATAGGAGGCGGCGGTTGAGCGCGAGAGGGAAGGGAGAGGAGAGGTCGAAGCAGGCGTAGATGATTGCGACGTGGAGTTTGGAGGTGGGGTTGGCGTGTAGGAGGGTGTTGAGGGCGTAGGTTGCTTGGTCGTTGGCGAGGATCTCACGCAGGAGCGATTTGGCCATGGCGAGGTTCGTGCGCGTCACTGTAGGATTATCGTCAGTGGGATATCAATCCGAAGTATAAGCTCTGGCTGGACGTACGAGGCAAAGAGTCGCGCGTGAACTGAGGCAGGGCGTCCAAGTCCATGAGTGACGGCGCCACCCACGGATTGTCGACATGTAAAAGTCCATCCTCGAGGTCGTCGATGAGCATACGCGTAAGCGCAGCAGCATGTCCGGGAAAGTGATTTTGGAAGATCTTGCGACAGTCCTCGATGCTCATCGAACGGTAGCAGTGCTCGATCACCAACCACAGCCAGAAGAGCTCCGATGTATCGAACTCGTTTAGGCAAGTGACCACCGGTCGAGAGGTTAGTTCGGGAAGTAGAGCGGTGGGGGATACGATGAAGTAGTTGACCGTAGTCATCGTTTCCCTTGTCTAGTTTCGGGGGTATAGCAGTGAAAGGGAGATGGAGATGGAGGATGTCGACAGAGCGTCAGGGTGGTTCCCCCGTCAAAGGGCTTTATACCTCCTGATCTCGTGCCTCGCTATCAGTGCTACGTCTTCTGTGGTTAGTGATGTGATGTCGAGAACAATGCATGGCTCGAGCGCAGGTCATAGCAAGGCTCGCCCAATTGAGGAAGACAATGGGCGGATTGCGGGGATGGCCGCGTGTGGCGGGATCCTTTGTATCTCCTTGCTCGAACATGTGGTCAAAGTCAGCGAGCGCAATGCACGCGACTCGTAGAGTGTATAGCCGTAGAGAGGCATCGATGTTGCAAGCCGTACTCGTGGCAAGTGGTTAAGCGCGCAGACTGCATTGCCCGAACATATATTCGCCACGTGGTAGTCGAGCGAGCGATAGTGACGCCTGAGAGCTTGCCAGTTTTGCCTTTTGACCTCCACTGTCATCATATACTATGTTTCGGCGCAGACCCTGAGCGTATCTACGTGGGAGCAGCAGGACGAATACAATCGGACGGTTGGCGCACACGCCAATCACGCGGGTGTTGTTCGTGCGCTTCTCCACAAGCCGAGCAACGTCCTTCCGTGTCTACGTGATCTTCGTCTTCAGACGATTGCGGACTGCTCTACCGACATGTTACTCTCGGTCGCGCGGACCCGCAGCCTGCAGCGCATGCGCGTCGGTCTCCTCGTGTTCAATGCAGCGTATGACCTTTGTGATGCGTTACGGTGGGACGAGGAGCGTAGAGCCTTCATGGCCCAAATGGAATCCATGGGTACTCGGGCGGAAGGGTTTGTGGTCGAGCGGGATGAGCGTCAGTCGTACAATAAATCGCGTGTGACCTAGGAGTGCATCCAGCGCTGGGAAGAACGACTCATCTCAATATGCATCTACACCTCAGCATGTACCTAGCCACTATTTATGAACGCGATGCTATCTTGTACAACGGTCTGAGCTATGTGAGCCCGGTCATGGCATACATAATGGAGATGGATCCATTCGACGTTAATGGTGTTCATATTCAATACATCGTGTGAGCGTCCAAGTGCTATATCATGTCCTTACTATCGACAACAAGATACACTCTAAGTAGTCCGAATTAGGGTGGACGCTCTGCGTTCGCCTTGCTGTACCATTCCTTCACCCATCCCACAAGGTAGTGCGCCATCTCCCGACCTTCCTTCACACGATCTACAACATGCGCTCCAGCTCTGCGCATCTCCTTCCTCCTTCCGCCCTTCTCCCAGGCTTTCGCCACCGCACGCGCCCAGTTACCACCCTCGTATTCCACACGGTCCATCTCGACGCCCGTGCCCGCCTTGTCCAGATACAGTCGCAAGCCATGTTCTTCGACAAATAGTGGGCGCGAGACAAACACAAAGGGCGTGCAACTGTCCACGGCCTCCGCAACGCTGCCGTAACCCAGCTTCCCAAGCAGCACATCGCCGACCGCCATGACATCCGGCATGTAGGCATTGCGCGGTGCGACGAAGAACCCTGGCGGAAGGTCCGCAGCGTCATCGGTACTCGCACCGCAAACAATGGCGATCCACGAGTCGTCAGGGAGTATGTATGCTTCGTCACTCTCATCCGACGACATGGAGATCGTGCGCTCGACCATGGGCGAAGATGGTATGAGCTGTATCGACGGCGATGTAGCGAATCTGCTCGGTTTGCGGGGTGTGTTGGGCAGACTTGCAGGTGCTGGTGCACCAGGAACGTTGATGTGTCGAGGAGTGAACACGGGTGGTTGCAAGCGCCGTCCGCCGTAACGGGAAGAGTGGCGCTTCTCTCCGGAGACAAGCGCTGTGAGCGAGCGCCTCAGATCCCCTGCGAAGGCAGACTCAGGCGTGCTGCCGTTCGCGAAGAGCGAGAGGTCGTCATCATCCTTGGTCGTATTGGGAGATAGCGCGACTGAAGCCGGCCTGCTCGGCGAGCGACTCTTTGGCACATGAAAGACCTGTCCACCAAAGCTGACAATGAGGACCTTCGTGAACCGTGGATCATGGAGATTGGACGGAACGCCAAGAGCAGAGAAAATGCGGGTGCGTCCCGCATCCGTGTATGCATCCGACGAAGGTGGGCGCACAAGGAGAGGCGCAGATCGTATAGTCCGCTGAAGGGGTTTAGGAGGAGCATCTGGCCCTGAGAAGGGTAGCGGGGGATGAATGGCTGGATTAGGATAGGAATGTGGCGGATATAGCGTGGAGGTGACCTGTCGTGAGAACGCCTTCGCGGAGAAGTCGACCCAGGATGATGCGGGCAAGGCGGGTTTGACCTCGAACGCGGGTAGCGGTATGTGTCCAGGCAATCGTAGAAGCAGATCGGCTCGCCGGTAACCCTCGTACACTTGCCGCACGAGAGGCTCAAGTGCGTCATCAGGTATTGGGATATCGGGTTCAGGGAAGTTCGCGTCCGAGGGTTGTATCGTGGGAGCCGCGAGATAGCTGAACACTGAATCGAAGGTGAAGTTCGTGACCAGGATAGAGGGCAATCGAGCCGCATCTGCTGCGAGAAATGCGAGAAACGCCGCATCGCTGAGCACCACGTCGGCGCCGACAGTCTTCAGCCAACCAGCCTCTTCGGCTACGCGGGCCTCCTTCGTGTCGAGAAAGAGGCGGAGAGCTTCCACGCTCTTCGCCCGGTCAATGCGATATGCAACGGGTTGTACGACCACTGGGTCGATGAGCGAGTTGCGGTACTGGGCTCCAAGGGCTATACTGTCGGCGAATACGTGAGCGGGTGCCGATGATACTATATGGACTGTTGGGCGTGTGTCGACGGGAAGAGAGAGTAGATGAGACGCAAAGGCGCTGACGCGCTACTAGAAGAGTCAGAGGATGAGCGGAGGTAGAATATGCTGAGACACTAACCGTAGCGTGACCATATCCATGCCCAGAGCAGTAATACGCCACACAGCGAGGCATATGTCAGGCCGAAGATCTACACTTGAGATGAGTCTATTGCTGCCAGATTATTCCCAGCTCAAGATCCCTCTACTCTCAGGGAGGCAATGACGAAACAAGGTTGGAGACTCTCAAGGTTGTGGTAG